CTCATGCAAACGTTTGTCGTGAGATACCCTTCCTCCAGTTTTAGCATTCAAGCGTTTAGAAACGGTAGGGTGCCATTCGATGTCTCTCCACAAGCGACTCCAATAGTCTGGATGACACTGTCCACTCCCTAGTCGAATCGTTATATCTCGTCTCTTCTCGCGATAACCAAACCGCCGTTAGAGTAACGGAATCAGTGTTTTGATTTAGCATTTCGACTGGCGTCTTCTGGTTGTTGCACGACCAATCCGGTCCTGGTTGGTGGAATTGACGGTAGATTTCAAGGCAGAGACTGCATCCTTCTATAAAATGGGTCGCTGGAATTCGTATAAAATAGCCCTCGAATGGGTGGCAGGGTTCACGGTCTGTCAACAACCGACCAATCAGAGCTCGGATTGCCCATGACAGCAGAACGGTGGTGTCCACATGAAGTGGGGGGAGGCAAATACAGTGCGTGACATATCTCATGAAATTTTGGCAGAAATTCTGAAATGCGTTTTCGATTAGGAAGGATTACTTGGTCTCGGTTGTAAGACTGACTATCCTAAGGCATACTCTTATAACATTTTGAACTCGGCAGGATGTTGGCTTTTAAATGCACTTCTTTTCATTCTCCTGTAGAAAGCGTGCTCCGTGAAAAATGACTACTTAAGTAGCATGCATTTTTCCTATTGATTTTGGATGGTCCTGGAAATTCGAATATATTTTATAGAAACCACAAAGAAAAATATGCTTTTTAGTCAATAAACAGAGAATCACGTCTTCTTTATATTTTATACTTGAGGAAGGAGTATAATTAGGTTTTAAAAAGTTTCTAATTATGAGACTCTTTAAGACCGCGATATGTCTATTCACATAGCATCGTATCTGGCCGTTTACCACTGCTCCTCATGAACTGTACAACATGGTCCGCATCCATTGCAAAATTTCATGGTCCCTGTATGATATCTCTTTAAAGACATAGAAAAATATGGGAATTTCTTTACGCGGAACGCATACGCATTGTAGAGTGTAATCACTAAACGCTAATGCAACGAATAATCAGGCTTCAAATTTTTCGGCAATTAGAAAACTTTTTTTAAACCTAATTATACTCCTTCCTTAAGTATAAAATATAAAGAAGACGTAATTCTTTATTGATTGATTAAAAGAAAACATATTTTTGTTTGTGGTTTCTAAAAAATATATTTGAATTTCCAGGACCATCCAAAATCAATAGGAAAAATGCATTCTATTTAAGTAGTCAGTTTTTTCCAAGCACTCTTTCTATAGGAGAATGAAAAGAAGTGCATTTAAAAGTAGACATCCTGCCGAGTCCAAAATGTTATAAGAGTATGCCTTTAGATAGTCAGTATCACAACTGCGATCAAGTAATCCTTCCTAATCGAAAACGTATTTCAGAATTTCAGCCGACGTTTCATGAGATAGGTCACGCACTGTAGATGCAGCGTGGTTTCAGGATTCTTCTGCCTTCATTCATTCGATCAAAAAAATCGACCACCATCTGGGGCCAGCAAATAAAATCTGAGCAAGCAAACAGTGCAGATGGTGCATGGATGCCATCCTGCAGATGGGTCTCATGAGTAGCTCATGGAAACGGAGTTCGCCAGTGCCTCTCCACCTGGACATTTTTGGTCGCTGTAGACGGAGACTGGATGCACACAGTTCTATTGCCTCTCTGAAGTAAACAAGCCCCAACTTAGTGGCAGGCATCACGAGTAGACAGGTCAGCCAGGCTATTATGGCTGATCTAAAATTGTTACGGGCCTTTTCTGCCTTCACTCAGTCAACCCTAACGTTGGCTACCGTCTGGGATGGGAAGCGCAAACATCTGCGAAAATAGCTTGTGGATGCGTCATCCCTATTATCATATAGCTACCATGTTTGACTCAATTTCCAACGGTTTGTCCGTAGCCTCTTTCAGCCATGCATGAATCAGCACGCGTCTGCTTACAGGTACTTTTTATACTGAATTTAATTTACACAACGCGGACGGCCGAAACCTCAGAATTAAGCAGCGTGTGTGCCTGTAAAAAAATTTATTTAATTAAAATTGTTCGTTTTGAAGTCCCGATGGTCTGAGCGAACTGAATCCAAAAGACTGCAATCTCGTATGAAGGATATGAAAGATTTATTAAATCATCTTTAGCAATGCCTCCTTCTACCTTCAGTAGAAATATGCAAGTATTTAACAAACGGCATCCAGACATCAGACAGCTAGCACAAGCATACGATAGACAGCCTGCCTAGTAAATAATAATAGTGACCTTTTAAAATGCCATCACACATAGAAATGACATCTACTCAAAAGTTAATACGGCAGCATGGAGTAAGTCAATCGGAATGAAGCTTTGTTGTCTTAGTTCAAAGCTGATAGGAATATATGAGCTTAAATCTATCAAATCCGGTGAAATGACTACGTAGTATTCATAAACCCAAGACAGACAGACAGCAAGTAGTATACAGCCGGAAATAAGTTTGTTCGAAAACCGGCGTCCTGGGGTAATTGAAATAAAGTAGATGTGCTAACTCATGAAATTTCAACCGAAATTTCGAAATGCGTTCTCGTTTTGCGAAGATAAATTAAGTAGTGTTGTAAAACTAATCATAATGCAGCATAAATCTATAATGATCCAGTTATCTCAGGGTGTCGGTATTCGAAAGAACTTATTTTCGGCTGCATGCAAGATATATACTCTGCAAAAAATGACTACTTATGTAACATGCCATTTTCTCATTGATTTTCGATGCCCTTAAAAATTCAATTATATTTCATGGAAAACATGCATAAAATTATTCATTCTTTTACTTATTTGGTAAAAAATCACGTCTTCTTCTAATTTCATACTCAAAAAGAATACAATTCGGTTTTAAAAACTTTTCTAATTCCCGAACAATTCTAAACCCGACCTGCTGTTATACTTGCATTCAGGGTTTCGAAACTACGAGCTGTATATTTTCTGTGTACGGAAAACCATGCATTCCTCTACGGTGTTAAGAGGAGACTATATAAGGTTCATAAAATTAAGCAGTGGATTTGAGCAATATTGTTAACTTTACAAGTCACATTCGTAAATGCAAATACATGACAATTCATGAACGACCATTTAACGGTATTAAAAAAAACTCACAATTAGAAACCTTTTTAAAACCAAATTATACCCTTCTTTTAGGCATGAAATCGAAAGAAGACGCAATGTTCCACCGAATAAGTAAAAGAATGAATATTTTATGCATGTTTTCCATGAAATATAATTGCATTTTCAAGGGCATCGAAAATCAAAGCGAAAATTGCATACTGAATACGTAGCCATTTTTTGCAGAATATAGATGTTGCATGCAGCCGAAAATAAGTTCCTTCAAAAGCCGACACCCTGCGGTAACTGGATCCTTATACATTTATGCTGCACCATGATTAGTTGTACAGCACCATACTTAATTTATCTTTTCAAAACGAGAACGAATTTCGAAATTTTGGTTCACATTTCATGAGTTAGCACATCTATTGTAGTCCTCCCCTAGCGAGTTTGGTTTTCCCAGGTGACAAGAGCTACGTACCCTAGCACGTACACAGAGTGCTTCGGGGTCGGATGTGGTTATCTAGCCGCACCTGATGTAAACAAATTTCAGCCACCTGTAATACAGGACCGGTCCGTCATGATCTCCGTGAAACTATTATTTCAACGTCAGTGAGTCTAATTCGTCCTCCGCCTGGAGTTCAGATGTAAAATAAGAGTGTTACTCAGCTTCTGCAAGCTTCTGCAGGATAGATTCATGCTGCACCATGGTCAGTTTTACAACACTACTTAATTTATCTTTTCGAAACGAGAACGCATTTCGAAATTTTGGTTAAAATTTCATGAGCTAGCACATCTACTGCAACTGTAACTCGGACTTATATTTAAAGATATGTAGTGTTAAACTAGAGTGTGCCTCAGTCTTCTACTTTATCCTCCAAACGTATCGTGGCAATGTGCGCGCGTAAATTGACGTTCGAAGCAGGTACGCGCGTTCGTGGGGTTAGCCGCGGTCATCCACAACCGACAACCGTCCGTTTTTGTCCTGTCCATCTCATTCATTGTCGTCCACTGTATGACCATGAAAAACTTAATTAGATAGTGCAAGAAAGAAATAACGACCTTAAATGTTTGAAGACGTTGCAAACTTCCCAGTGCGGGATTTTCGGGAAGAAGTCTGCGCAGAGGCAGTTTGTTCTCCATTGAAGTCTAGCAGAGCAAATGGCGCTCAAACTTGCGTTTTGGGCTCTGCGGTGTTGAGTCACAGTATACCCACGACATTTACTTTGTATTCCGCGAGTATCGTGGCAGTGCGCTGGACCAAATGACTTGTGTTATGACACAAAATCCTGGTCGGAATGTGTATTAGTCTTGACAAACTGAAATACATATGTACAACGCATGTATACTACAGAATGTCTGATGGCAGTTTGTGAACATTACGCGGTTATTCCGCTAAAGCTGACATCTAACGGTTCGGGCCTATAAAGCTCCATTTTCCGCGATTTATTTCAGATTAGGTCATTACTTCAGGAGAAGATTAAAAAACCGACATTTGGCAGTCTTTGAATGCATGATTAGGAAGCATACGACTCAACAATACCCTAAATCACAGCTTTTGCATGGGGAACCGTCAGCTTTCAATTCAGATATCGTCATGCTTTTGAAATGAACAAAATGTTATTTTCTCACGGCATTAAATATGCGTGACGTCCATTACGATCAGAAGCATATGTGGTTTTGCCATGACCTATATCAGTTTACTTGACTGCACACAGGTAGTCTGGATGGAAAACCAAAACGTAACAGTGCATTTGTTAATTTTAATTTGTGTTCCATAAATCACGGCGGTGCGACTTCACTTGGGTAGTCTTTTATAGCTAAAAGGGCTTCTGAGGCATTGCGATCAATTTTCTCGAATATTTCGCGACTGGGCGCGGCGAACGACAAAATGCAAAGCGACCAAACAGGCGGGCAAATGGGCAATGAGACCACTTGCTGATGACATCTCGGCCGTCGCGGGCAACAATGTCCACGGTGTGACCCGCAGCATGCCGGACGCAGGTTGATGACTTGCGCCGCATCTATCGCACTCTCTTCCCCACAAACTACCTGAATCCGGTGACAAGGCAGAGTCAAGAAGACCTAAGGCGAGATAGGATGCGGTGACTAATACGACTAAACAGTCCGTCCATACTGTCCAAGAGGCGGCAGAATAGGGATTCAGTTTGTAAAGCAAGCAGATGCGATGCCCGGATCTCAGCTTGTTTCGGAGCTGTCTTATGCAACCATACCTTCGTTTGGTGAATGCTGTTCCCGAAGACCATGGAATATTAAAAGAAGATTGCAGGGACTAGCTGGACGTTCTCTTCTCATCATAGTAAATTATCTCGCATGCCATTCTTCGAAAGGATGATATAATTCATGAACAGAAACTGACTGAAAAATTACCCTGACTGGCCAGAATACGGAGCGTGCAGTGAGGATGTTTTGACATAAAATATAGTAGCCGATCATCATTATGCAGTGGTATTTCCAGTCGCTAAGCGATTTTCCAAACCAAGTATGTACGTCATGAGAGCGGCACTAGCGGAATACAGAATTTTCTGATTTTGATTTTCTCAACAATCCGGCTCTTTTCTGGGATTTAATTGTATTTATTTTACAAACCACTGTCCCGTTGCCTTGGAGAGGGTGCTTTTAACCGGACAGTCATAACACAGCGCATAGGTAATGAGCGCACATGAGCATATTTCACTCACTCTCGTTTCGAGCGAAACTTCTGAGAAGAAAATATGTCTCGTGTTTGTGCTGAGAACACAAAAGTAATCCACATTCTACCAGCAAATTTGTGAATTACATTAAAAGAAAATTCATTTTCCTAACTATGCCAGCTCGTTCTATCTAAATGAGAATGCTAATTTCTGTCCCAAGTGTTAATTTCAGAGGGGAACTATGAGGGGAAATTCGCTCCCCTAAGAGACAGAAGCAGTTTTCTGACGCTTTGAATTCATGCTCGAGACAAACATCAGAAATTGGGAAGTTTCCGAGTTTAATAAGATTTTTTATGAAGTTGATTTAGCTCAGATATTGCCCGTCTACCGTCAAAACTGGCTTTATACGCTCTGATACGCTGCTCGGGGGACCGATCTCATCCGTTGATTGGCGAAAACTGGCAATATACGGAAAAATCTCTCATCATCTAATGATTAACCCAAGCTCATGCCCGAGGATTCGGATAAATTAACCTACTGACGGTGGGGAGGGGGTTAGATTGTCTTCTTTTCCGATTTATTCTTTACCTGAGTCCTAGGAAAACATCCCATTTGCTGACTGAAGGTTATTCTGCAAACCCCCTGCGACACTTTAAAAGGAAATTGTTTAGTAACCTGGACGGGTGAGTGACGGAAGCTTTATTTTGTCCAGCCCAATGGTCCTCGACCAGCCACTAACACATTCCTCTTTACCAGTGGCCGAACTAGTAAAAGAGGTCTCGGCATTCAGAGAAAAAAAGCGTAACACGATCTGATCTCGGCCACCACCGACGGTCGATGATCCGAGTGCAGTATGTGGCGAGCGGGTTTGACCAATCACGGTGGCCGATCGGAAAGACGCGCTAGGTCGATGAGTACAGGTGCAAACATGCCTTCCTCGCAGCCAAGGAGCAAGCCGAGTGGCGTAGCCAATCAGACGGCTCCGAAGCCTCGAATGAGTCTCGCAATTCGTCGCCAGTTGAGAAAAATAGGTATATTCCGAAGTATGGCATTTTAGATATATTTTTTAACTAGTAAGCAAGGAAAGAGGATGGAACAGGAGCAGAACACCCCGAAGTGAGTCACTTGTCTCCTTCTTCGCCGTTGTTTGCATGCATGCTTTCGGTTTCGGGGATTTATTTTGCCTAACAGCGTATATGTTTACTACTGGATTTGTGTGTAGACAAAAAACACTGCCTGCAAATTGTCTTGACTCGACAACGTCGACATTAACTCAAAATGTAATCTGCATGCCTGCCCTAGGAAACAACTAATAGTCAGGATCCATAGATGCTGCAGCAGTCGTTTTGACAAAAACCAACCTCACTGACAATAGGCATTTCAGACACACCCTATCAAAATAACCCAAGTGAGTTTGCAATAGTAAGAAACTCTCAGTAGTGAATAATAAATTGAATCAAACTTGAGACATCAACGTTTACTCTGAGGACAAAAGTCACAAGGATAATTGCATACTTTCCCAGGGAAAAGAAGGGAAATATATGGATCCAAAGCATGTAAATTAAGCCGACTTTAAGCAGAAGTCTCATTACATATCTGGTGAGATTATTTGCCTCTGAGTTATTGGTCAGACAGAAGCCTAATAATGGATTGGGAAAGGGAGATATGAAAACATCTAATGTCTCGTTTTCAGATCACATGTGGCTGCAATAGTTTGGAATTGTATTGTGACCAGTAAAATGGTCCCAGGTGACGTCAGGGGCAGTTGTCGCCTCAAAACGTTCATACACGACAACGTAAATAATTTGCGCTCTTTGGAGAATTAATTTATTCCAAAAATAACCGGGAGACATGGGATACTTTCCTCCTGGCCTCTGTCAAATTTATTGGCTCATTTTGTGACGAACTTATCATATGCGACATTGCTAACTAGACCCACAGACTCAGTCGTTTTAAATTGAATTTACATATAGATCCCTTTGTGACAAAAGAGGAACAACGTAAAGATGTAGGCATTTTTTGCTGGTTATTAGACGTTGAAAATAGACACACAACTACTGATCGAGAGTTTACACTGGGAAGATAACGCGAATCGTGATTTAGGCAAGCGTAACTCTAAAAAACATCCTTACTATGGTAATTATATGCCGAGACAATAGTCCACTACATGCCTGCTAGAAGCACTGTCCTAACATACGTATAGTCTTAAAGCTGTTGGGCACAACGACTACATCCGTATGTTCAAAATTTAAAAATGTAAATAATTTTGAATGTCTGAACATCTGTGTTAACAGCAGGGCTATTTCTACATTGACTACTAACTAAATACACGAAGCTCCTTCTGAGAAGGTAAGAGCATCTATGCACACATAGAGGTTCCTCCGACAACAATTGAACACAATTCACAAAGATAAAAGCACTTCATTTATAAGTTATCAGTTGTTTTAACAATAGAGTTCTTGGACATTTAAACTACTTTTGAGTTAGATTTAGGCGTCCTCAACCAAAATGTAACGTTTCTATTGTCTTTCTTTGCGTGACCATTGAAAAAAACATTGTGTGAGACAGCGTATACATTTTATTATCGTTGACAAAATTCATTGGTTAGCAGCATTTGCTCTGGTGCCTAGCAATTCATGAAACGAAGAAAATTAACTGACAAATCTTCAAGATCATTCTGCAGATGTTGTGAATTGTGGTCACTTACACTTCAAAATAATTTCATGCGTGATTTTACTAAAATGCGATAAGCACGCAAAACTCCTTTTGAGTTCCGGATAAGTAATTCAACGTTGCGCAAATGAGCTCTGATGAGGTATAAGATAAGCATGACTGACAATGCGTTTACTGCAATTAGCGTTGTTGAGAGAGTCAAAAATATGTTATTTATAAATGTGCAAGGATCTCAAACATTTGGAGAGCTTTATTTACTGAGGACAATTTTCATAGTTTCAAATATTTTTTGGTCTACTTAGTTGAGTCAGGTCTGCCTGTATTTGTGTACTTATGAAAAAACGGAATTACTCCTGCTCGACACTTCAGTGGTTTAAATAGGTCCCTAAGGTGCAGTATTTCTCTGCACCGGATATCCAGACAGCAAACACTTGCAGAAGGTCTGAAATTCGTTTTTTGTGTAATTTGATAGACCATTTACCTTAGCTGTCCTAATACTGCAAAAATCTCTTGGGATCCGTTTTATATTAAGGGACTGTTCCCTAATACCAGCTAAAGGCAATCCTCGACCGAGTTTTGGCAACGTCGGCAGAATCGACAGTCGTAGGACGCTAACTGTGTTTTGTGGGCTAAAAATCGCCAATCTGATCAAAAAAAGTTGAAACAACGTTCAAAAAGTGTACGGCTGTTGCAGAAATAGTGTTCTACTGCGTTGCACATCGCATGCATTGTGCCACAGTCGAAGCTCTTAGCCACTCAGGGGCTTACATACAATTTGCGTATCTGTGGCATGAAATCGACTTCGGGGTTGCAATAGGTTTCAATAAATCTGGCTAAAAATCGTATTTAGACATTTCTAAGCCGTATTTTTTAAGCCGATGGAGGAAAGCATCAGTAAACAACTAGAGAATGAGTTGGAGGCTTCCTCATCTAGAATAAACTCAATGATCGAAGAAAACGTATTTAACTAGGGAATATTTCAAAAGCACGTTTGTTGTACTAAAAAACATAAAAATGAATAGCACATCGTTTCCCCAATCACAGGAGCGCCTTAGATACTTGCAAAGATTTTCCGCAAAAATCGTTAAACCTCAGGCATGCAAAAGTCACTCATTTTGTCAGGTCGGTTCATGTACTTCCTTGGAATACCAGTGATTGCGACAAAATTGCTTCACTCTAAGCACGCATAGCCGAGATAAGAAGAGTTTTAAGGCGACCTAAAATTAAGGCCCCATAGCAGTTTTCGATATATGCCCTCTCTCTAAACGGATTATCTGAGATGTTTAATCTCTCTTGAATGCACAACGTAGCCTTGTTGCGATGCGGAGTAACTATAGAATACCGGACAGACTGTGTATGCAGAAATGCAAAAAACCCAGTGATCGACTGCAAAATTGACCCAAACCCATAAAACGCCGATCTGCATCTCTGAGTAGGCTTTTGAATTGCGAATGCTAGTTGCACTCAATTTCATCAAACATACTTTAAACCAGCAGGGACTGCATATCGCCGATAAACTGAAAATCACCTTCCTAACTCTGACTCATAAAGTTGCGTTGCGTATATGGACCACGCCACATACCCCGTAAAAACATTTATACGCACAGATGCAATGTCTTTTGAACAGACATTTCATAGTCTTGAAAAATTCCACAATGTCATATTATTCCTTCTAAGATACTGTTTATTCGAGGAATAATATTTAAAGAAGACGCAAGTTACTACAAAGTGGGGCTGTTAAAGAGTGTTTGCTGAGCGCGTTCCCCCTAAAATATTTCCGAACTTAAAAAACACCTAAATTCGATTGAAAACATCGTACTAGTTACTCGGAGATTTTTTGCCGGGTGTGATTTTTATAGGCATTCGAAGGAATCACATTCAAAAACCGGCACCCTGGAATGACAGAAATATATGCGGATTATGCCGTATGATGCTACATAGTATTACTCCATCTAAGTAATACCTTTTAAGTAAAATCGTATTTCAAAATTCCTATGTACGTTTCGTGAGATACGTCACCTATCGTGTTTGTCCTAATTAACTTACTTTCAGCCAGCTTTAAAGCAGCTAATTCTATTTTAATGTCCTAAGACTAAAGAGCATTGGCGGTGAAAGGTCTGCAACAAGTGATTCCGAGTCATGGAAGAAAGTGTTTCAGGGCCCTTGCATAAAGGTCTGCAGTCTTGCCATACCAATTCACCATTTTTCAGTTTGTAACGTAAAATCACATCAACTTACATGATTTAATGCACTTCTTCTATTTATCCTAAAATTAAGATATTTTTAGAGGAAAATAAAAGACAACTGCGTCTTGTTTTCGTGGCCCGTACTTTTAATTATCCCTGTGAGTAGAGAGTTCTCATTTTTAGTCCCATAAAACTTTTCGTGAGAGTTGAAGTTATTTTTAGTTAATTGTAGCGACAAAACTGGACTTTGACAGTTAGAAATTGCTTGCCTCACACAGACAAAATTAAGGCCAGTGGGAGCCGTCTTTGACGATTCTGTTCTACTGACACCCACAGTTAAAGTAAAATCTGTACTTTTGTGAAGAAAAAAAAGAAGAAAAAGAAGAATATGCAAGAAGGAGGGTCAAAATCCGCGGTTGTCAGTTCATGTGACCCGGGGACAGTAACTACTTGCTATTAGTACTACTGCAGGTCTGACCATGGCAGAAAAAGTGCACGCCTCAGGTTACCCGTAAGAGCCTGAATATTTCACTCAACAGGCTGCCTGAAAGCACTGCGATGTCTGTCTCGTCGGCTGAAGAGCAACCAGAAGCAGTCCGGCTGTCAGTGCAACCGGAAAACCCCTCGGACGAGAGGGTAGTCTCTGTTTGCAACTTTCAATTTGGAGGCGAAACTGGTGGAAACAAGAGCGGCTCCGCTAGCTATGAGTCGAACGCGTATGTACATTTTCTCGATTATGGTTATGGGTAGGATTCAGGTATTTGATATGTTTAAAATTGATAACTACTTCCTAAGAAAACGCAAAATGCTATGATTATTAAATGATAGATTTTAGGCCTCAATCAAGCTTGCATACGCATCACAGTAGTAATGGGATAAGACAAGTGAATAAATATCGCACATTTTTAAACTTACGAGACAAGCATGAACTTTGCGAATCAAGTCTTTTCGGCGGTTGCAGGTTAGATTTCGCAAATGCATTTCATTGAAAACCGATTTTCACCCCTTATTTCCTGCAGTTTGACATGCTAAATTTAGCTTAAAATTTTTTATCTTTAAGACACACTCTCTCAGCCCAGAGGTACCGTTATAATAATGTTATACAGTTATCTCTCCCGGTCTTCGCACGGTGCTGTTTCAATGTCTCCATTCAGAAAATTCCTTTTATTAAACGCATGGAGTAGTTTTATGCTCAAAAAATTGATCGGTGTCGACACTTTTCAAACCGCGACCCGCATTCTCCCTTCTTTTGCTTTTCTGGATAGAGTTGTATTCGGTTACTCTGAAATCTGCCGTAAGTTTCGCTGAATATTTATACTGAGTCATAATCCAAGTCAGCAAATATTACAATAATTTTGCTGCGGTTGCCATATGTATCGAGTTGCATACAAAAACGGGTGTAAACCTAAAATGGGTAAGGGTGTGTGCACATACCAGAAAACGTATCCGAACGATCAAAATGACGAACTCTTAAACCTATTCAACTTTCTTTCCATAATTGCTTTGAGAACGTTTGGCTTTTTCCTTTAAAATTAAGATTTGTTTTGCAGACAGGGTTGTTTACTAACACTTTTAAAGAGAGGGACATACACGTTCGACCGTCAAACGTAGGGCTTCAGAATAGCGAGTATTTGGACACATAACACTTACGAAGTGTCAGAATATGAAAGTCAATCCAAGGCTTTTAAAAATTTCCCTAAACAATTCTTGATTACTCATCAAGTGAGTTACTGGAATAGTCATAGTTGGTTTATGCACCGTCGTAATCCGGTGGTACCTGGGGCCCTACACTGTCTGTCCCCGTGCGCAATCTGCATTAGCTATAGACCCTTAGCTCCACAGTAATGCGAATATGTCCCTTTCGATGGACGATGTTCCCATGAGACCGAAATCACCAGCTACAAAATATAAAACTATTCACGTTTCAGTGGGTTTATACAGACAGTCCCGATAAGTGAGTGTGCCTTTGTGCCTTTGAAACGCATACGTGGGGAGGAGGTATAAAAATCAGAGTTCCAAGGGTGTGCTGCTCCGATAAATTAACTGCGTGAATGAGCTCGCTTGTCCGCTTTTGCCTTCGATCTCAAACATGCGGCCGTCGCAGATGATCACCTGACGACTGTGGGGATCCACCGTGTTAAAAAATTACTGAAGTAGACGAAATCGGCCTAGGTATGGTTGGTAGAAGTGAATAAGCCAAACTTGACCATTTCAGTCCCTCCGAATTTGTAATTACAGTAGACGTGACAACTCTTGAAGTGCTAGCCTAAATTCTGAAATGTGTTCTTGACTAAAAAACGTTACTTAAATATGGTTGTAATACTAACCGCCGCGCAGAATAATCTTGTGATATTTTAGTCGCGTCAGGATGAGGACTTTCAAACAAAATTCTTTTCGGCTGCCTGCAAAAACTACACTCCGCAAAAGACAACTACATAAGTAAAAATATTTCTCCTCATTGATGGTCGATGCCCTGAGAAATTCAAATATATTTGATGAAGAAAAGCATAAGAGCATTTATTATTTTACTCATTTTGGTAGAGAAGTACGTCTTCTTCAAATTTTATACTTAAAGAAAGGAAATTATACGATTTTAAAAACTTTCACTAACCTTGAATAATTTTAAAGCCAACCTGCTGTTACACCTGAGTTTGGGGTTTCTAAACTGCTAGTTGGATATTTACCGCGTACAGAAATCATATATTTCTATACGCTACTAAAAGAATAACATATGGGGTTCATAAACTTCAGCAACGGATCTAAGCCATATTGTAAACTTCAAAAGCAAAATTATTAAAGAAGGAGACACGATATTTTATGAGAGATTACTCACGGTCCTAGAAATCTCGTAGTTAGCAATTTTTCAAACCACATTATCCCTTTCCTCTTAATAGTGTGAAGAAAAAACAAAACAAGCATTTTGCTACCTTCAGTCAGACCGGTGGGACTCTACTTACACACAAACTTGAATCGTTACGATCGTTCACTTATGGCTGGAGCGCCGAGTAAAGCACAGGAGCTGAATGCCTGAGGGTCCATGATATTCAATTTTCTCCAGTCTGGCGTTGGGGTATGACTTGCTACTGATTAATGGTACAGTAGGTAGGGTAACTCGCGAAATGTCAACCGAAATTCCGAAATGCGTTTTCGTTTAGAAAAGATTAAATAAGTAGGGTTGAAAAACTAATCAGTTTGCAGTATAATTCTATCTTAGCATGCGGACTTTCGAAAGAACTTCCTTCCGCTGCATGCAAAAGCCATGCTCTGCAAAAAATGACTACTTAAGTAGCATGAATTTTTGCCATTGACTTACGATACCACTAAAGGCCAATTATACTTCTTGGAAAAAATGCATAAAAATCTTCATTCTCCAGCTCATTCGGTAGAAAATTACATCTCCTTCCAATTTTAAATTTGATGGAAAGGTTTACTTCGGTTTTAAAAAGGTTTTCAAATTCCCGAATAATTCATATTGATCCAATTGTGAAAAACTCGGCTCCTCGGTGGGATTCGACCCCAAGCAGTAAGGGGAAGGGTTTAGTGCAGCCAACACTCTAACCACTTTAGCTACGTGGCCTCGTACTTAAGTTTTTCACAGTTGGGTCAATACGAATTATTCAAAATCTATCAAAATATCTATGAATCCCGAAGAATTTTGAAACCGCTCAGTCGTTAAACTTGCATTCAGGGTTTCCGAACTACAAGCCATGTATTTTCCGCGTACGGAAAACCACACATTCCTCCACGGTATTAGGAGGAGACCATATGGGGTTCATAAAATTTAGCATTGGATTTGATCCATATTTTTAAATTTACAAGCCGTATTGGGAAATGTGGTGACATGACGTTTTATGAACGGCCATTTCATGGTATTAAAAAATCTCACAATGAAAAACTTTTTAAAAACCAAAGTGTAAGCTTTCCTTGAGTAAAAAATTGAAAAAAGACGTAATTTTTTACCGAATGATTGAAAGGATTAATATTTTGGTGCATGTCTCCCATGAGCTATAATTGGACATTTAGGGAAATCGAAACTCGGGGAGAAATTGCATGCTACATAAGTAGTCATTTGTTACATAGTATAATTTTTGTGTGCAGTCTTACAGAACATCATTCGAAAGCCGGTACCCTGGAGTAACTGGATCATTATAAAGTTATGCTGTATGATGATTTGTTTTACAACAGCACTTAATTAATCTTTTCGAAACGAGGACGCATTTCGAAATTTCGGTTGACATTTCATGAGTTAGCCCACCTACCGTAGATCTTGTGCTTATTACAGTCGGCCAATTCAAGCTAATCAAAAGCCGGAAAAGGTTCACCAGCGATAAGAAAATTGCCTGTTGGGACGTAAACGCATCTTTTGTCTACATCTTCTTCACACTAAGATGCCTAGACGACGAAAATAAGTAACCTATCAGTATGTTTACGGCAGGACACCTATTTGGACGTTCGATCGATAACTAAACTGACGGCAGTCAGTTTTGTCCTAGCGTACATCTGGCGGGGTGCAAAACAGAAGACAAATGACAGAACTGGCCATGCATAATTAGGCTAAACGGTTATCTAGGGCAATGTATGCTTGCGTGTGTTCCCGGCTGCATGTGAGTGCCCGACTAGCTGAAATTGCTTCGCACTGCAAGCAGTGTTCGCGCAAAGCGTATATTTATGTGCGTTCGATCAGATTTCATAGTCTACCTGCCGCACCTCGGACTACTAAACATAGGAATAGCAGGCTACGAACCAGAAGTCTGGTAGTTAATCCTCCTCAGTGTCGGTGATGATGAAATCTTTAGCCAAGTTGAAACGTTAGGAAGATGAATAAAAGCTTATAACTATCCGTTTTTGACCAGATTTCATAGTCTACCCGTCGTATCTCGAGTTTCACAAGTAGATGCTTCCGCGATTATCCCTTCCCCCTAGTAAGAGACTTCTGACCTGCAAACGCGATGTCGTTGTGCTGCCATACCTAAACTGGCGAAAAAGCCGACGGTCTTTACTCCAGAAATACACATAGCAACTTAGGAAATACTGGCCTTCCATTTATAAACTGTAAATGCCCAGTTATGTAACGATACTGCCGATAGCTCACAGAAAGTTCAGCGTCTCACTCTAAATGCCTGTTGTTCCGCGCCGAAGGAGGAGTTCGCCAGGGGATGCAAGCACACTACTGCTACTAAAAATAGAGACAGCAGGTTGCAACTCAGATGTCTGGTAGTTAATCATCCTTGATGTCGGTGATGATGAAGTCTTTAGACATGTCAAAACGTTAGAGGATCGAATAGAAGTTTATAACTACGGGGTAAGAGACGTTGCTCTCTTTTATCACTGGTTAATTGAATATTTGATCGAATTGGCAAGAGTTTTGTAGACTTGGTGGCCGATCACTTTTCCGTCTGATACGTCTGAAAGTATTTATAACAATCAAGCCTTTTTTAAAAAGTGCTTATAATTTTGGTGCGTTCTTGATTTTTATCCGCCTAATCACCAGAGTGCTGCCAATCTCACTGTCATCAAGTGTGGCTTAGATGACTTGTTCACAAGACGACTTTGCTTTGTGAAAGATCAGCTTGCTGAAAATATTTGCCTATTTTTCCTGTTTGCGAAATTAGGACGGTTGCTAGGGTGAATGCGTGAAGGGGAATGAGCGATAAAGTATCATTATGAGCTCTGTAGGAGAGCGTTCCACCAGTTAGGTTTGGTATACCATTTTGCCAGTTTAATAGCAACCTGCACGTAGTCTTTGTTCTGGTCTAAAGCGGCCACCGTAGCATTCTGCCGCTATCTAAAACGATCAAACGTTGAATTTGAACGGCCTAGTCCTTTTTCGCCCCTTGATGATATCCGCTAACCACAGTCTAGGCATTAGAAAAACTGGTTATGCCACAAAATGCGCAAAACCGCAGTTGACTTTAATGTTATATCGTTTTCTACAAAAATACTGTAGCCCGCTCTAGCTATGAGAATGCAGCAACGCAAGCGGCCCTTACTGGCTTTTTTTTACAGCGCAGACCCACTTTTTTCTGGTATAGCTGAACTGTGGCAGGGCTAAAAAAACTGAATTTGCTGAAATGCATCCGTTTTTCATCATTGGCCAGCTTCCGCTGATGTCATTACGTCAGAAAAACTTACTACACCCTCCGTAGTACTTGGTGGATCCTCCAATAGAAGATGTTTCACCAAATCATACTCTCTACCCAACGGCGATATGCCCCGTGGTTTAAAAGAAAGTCGTTTTTGTTAACGCTGTGGTGAATTTAAAACGCCTCTAATATACAATTTTGTTAGGAGGAACAGAACTTAGTCGTAGGTTTTACTGTTCTGTTTTGGCAATCACCTGTGCGTGCATTTTTGTAAGCATGATTTTGTTAGTAAAACCCTCCAGTTATCCTACTTTTGTCGCTTTAGGCGACTGAACATGTCTCTGGAACTTCACATCACGACAGAGATCCCGATAAAAAGGTAGACCACTCGTCACAGTCGACGATGTCCGACTTCATCGTGATGATGATATACGAATAGCGGATTATGCCCGAGTAAACAGACGCGCTGCATTAATTCGCGGCGATAGGGCAGGTTTCCGCAGTTACCAGTAGGTGGCTACCAGGAAACATTAAGTTAAATTCTGAGGATTGATTTCAGTTGACGATGATTACTTAAGTTAAGCTGTAATGCTGACTATTATACGTCACGTCAGGGTTCTGGCTCTTGGATGCGCAGTTTATAGCTATCCCTAACCCCTAAGAGGTATGGCTACAAATAGGATTTGTCGAATTTTCTCCTTCGCTTTTTGATATTCGCACAAATATCAGCATATGTTACAAAAACCCTACCTAGAGCTGTAATTTTGGGCCAATTGTGTAGTAAAAATTTAATATTTGAGGAAACGATATCTTCCAGTCACTAAACCGTTCTCAGTTCCCAAATAGTTTGGAAGCCGACTTACCGTTGCATTTTGTTTAGGATTTACAATCATCGATCTACACACTTCCTACTTATGGGAAATAATATACAGTCTTATGCCATCAATAAGATTTTACATATGGTTCATAAAACCTTGCAATAGATACGGGCCACTTTTATACCTGAGAAAGTGTGTGAATAGATGGGCAAACACGGTGCTACTTGAATGGACATTTCAGTCTTAAAGAGTCTTATAACTGAAATCCTTTAAAAACCAAAGGGTCTTCTTTCTTCGAGTGAAAATTTAAAACAGATGCAGTTTGCCACAAACGTAGTACAAACAGGAACATTTAATGCATGCTTTCTGTAAAATACATTTAGATTTATAAGCAGCATTACCAAACGTACGGATAAGTGCTATCTGTCCAGAAATATAATAGCCTTAACATACCTCATGATTGTAAACTCTTTAAATCAAAAGATTTCGCTCCTTCACCTAAAAATCAAAGAAGACGTGGTCTTCCGCATAAAGCTCTACAATGGCGAACGCCTGTGTACATTTTCAAAGATATGTTAGGATTTTTTGAGGTGTCAAAAATTAGTGGGAAGACAAAGTAGTAAATAAATGGTCATTTTGGTTAGTAAACTTTTGCAGACGACAGATACGCACAAAAACCAACATCTTGATGTGACTTAAATATCTTGGAAGTACGTTGTAGGACACTCAATAATATGGCCCCACCCAAGTAATCCTTTTTAAACGAGAGCACATTTCAGATTTTTGGTTAACTTTTTATGAGATATGTCTGCCAACTGAATATGTGATCACAGTTGAGACAAGTTGGCACCGTGTACGCACCATTTGTGGCCGTGTTCTGGTGACCGCAGAAAAGTCCGTTCAGGTCGTACCAAGACTAAAAAGTACGATCACATTGAGGACAGTTGGACGCGTTGCCGTTGGCAGTGTCGTTGGCCCGAAACGGACAGCACACATGAACGAACATCATAGCGGTTGTTGAGCACGAACGGCGTTAGCCGGCCACAAATTAAGCTGAATTTTAGCAAACGTTTTTTAGCCGTTTTGGCTATTTTTATCCAGATGTGCGGTTTTTATTATTTGACTGCAAGACTTTTACAGAAGAGTGCTGGCGATTCGTTGTGTCTGGGAATACAGTCCGCAGGTTATAGGAGCGGGTTGATCTTAATTGACTATAGGATGTTTCCCAGGCCATGCTTTGAACCAGCTATTGGGGGTGAGCGATGGTGAGCACTTGTGCCCTTGTTCATCAAAAGATCCATTGTGCCAACTTACAGCTGCGAACTACAGTAGGTGGGCTCATTCATAAAATGTCAACCGAAATTCCGGAATGCGTTTTCGTTTCGAAAAGATTAATTAATCAGGGTTGTAAAGTTAGTTAGCCTGCAACATAATTCTATAATATGTCAATTCCCTCAGGATGTCGGCTTTCGAATGAACTTCCTCCAGACTGCATGCAAAAACTACACTCTATAAAAATAACAACTTAGAGAGCATGCATTTTTCTCACTGATTTTCGATGCCCCTAAAAGTCCAATTATATTTCTTGAAAAAAATGCATAAAAATATTCACTCTTTTGCTCATTCAGTAAATAATTACTTCTTCTAATTTTATACTTGAAGGAGAGATATAATTCGGCTTTAAAACATTTCCAATTGTTGGAATTTTAAATGCCGTGAAAGAGCCGTTCATAAATCGTCCTGTGTCGGCATTTACCAGTGTGTCTTGTAAAGTTAACAATACGGATCAAATCTACTGCTCAATTTCATGAAACCTATATAGTCTCCCTTTATTACCGTGGAGAAATGTGTGGTTTTCCTTACGCGAAAAATATACGGCTTGTAGTTTGTAAACCCTGAATCCAAATGTAACGACATAGCGGGTTAAAAATTATTCGGGAATAGGAAAACGTTTCGAAAACCCAATTATATCCCCCCTTCGAGTATAAAATTAGAAGAAGTAAATATTTACCGAATGAGCGAAAGAATAAATATTTTTATGCATGTTTTTCAAGAAATATAATTAAACTTTTATAGGCATCAAAAATCAGTGAGAAAAATGCACGCTCCTTAAGTTGTCATTTTTATAGAGCGCAGTTTTTGCATGCAGCCGGGAGGAAGTTCATTCGAAAGCCGACATCCTGAGGTAACTGACATATTATAGAATTATGTTGCAGGCTAACTAACTTTACAACCCTGATTAATTAATCTTTTCGAAACGAAAACGCATTCCGGAATTTCGGTTGACATTTCATGAGTTAGCCCACCTAATGTACTTCTTGAGGGCAGTAGTACGGACTTCATCGTGCAAACTAGAGGAACTTCAAAATTCAAGATTTGAGTTTTTATTGGTGCGAACCTACTTACTTTCAATTGAGTTCTTCTCACTAATGCCAACTTTCCCGGTTTTGTTTTGCTACCAGTCGTGTAAGACCTCCCTATCCACATTGCAGTTTACATTATACGTTTTGCCGGAGAGACCAGTGAAGATCGGTAGTTAAAGGCTAAAATATCGTCATAAGTAGGGTGTCAAATGGTGTGTTTTTACACATGGCCGTGAATGATTGGTGTTTCGCGCTGCCTGCACCAACCTGTGAACAGGTTCTTCTAGGGTTTTCCATGCCATTAGTCTTTAGGTTACCGGTGAGCAGGAATACAAAAGTTTCCTATTTCAGAGGATACCTTATATGTCGCCAAATGTCTGCTTTAAAAGACCTTATAATAAAGCGCATATCTTAGCCAAAGAGGTCAGTCTGCATCCACATTACAATAGAAATGCAAACCATAAGCTTTACAGGTGCCAAAGGCCTCAATCGTCGTTTTTGGTGGTTTGCTAGGAACAGGGCTTTGCAGGACGCTACTACTGGTACCTCTCCATAGGCCGGCGTTGGACGCCGTTCAACGTTTGCCATCGTTTGTGCCTTATGCGCTCTTGACCACGCCTCGGGGAACCCGGAAAACACCCTTCAAAAGGAAACATCATCAAGGCATGTTCATAAGGCTACTGCACCACGTCACGGAGGGTAAATTTTTTTATCCAGCAGTAGTAAAGACCGCTCGAGGCCGCACAAGTGGGGTGGGGAAGCACCACCTGTTGCATTGCAGTGCGCCAAAAAGTAAGCCAGAATGGAGGCCTTTTTCAGCTCTGTGGGCGAAGTCCGAAGGCAAGAATTGTGTGTGTGTGTGCAGTATTCGACACAGGCTCAGGTCGATGCACATGACAGCGCTCGGCCACAGAGCCCGCCCGAGGGATAGCTGGCTCCAAAATGTCACAGCCCGAGACAAAGCCGTGGGGAGGCATGCGGGCTTCTGAGGCCGTAAAGAAGTACACCTGGAGTTAGCTTTACGGGAATTCCATTCAGTTGATTTATCTTTTAGGTCGCTGTCAGACCTACTGGGCGGCCTAGGATACTTTCGCCATTACTCGCTAATGAGGCCTGGGCCACCGTCTTGGGCAAACAACAGAACCCTAATCAGAAGAACCACCACACCAGGGTTGCATTACCGGTTTGAATTGTTTAGAGCCAAGTCCCGGATGTTTGCGTTGGTTTTCACAGAAATGAAAATAACAGGCTGATTTTGTCAAATCTGTCAACCGCCTTCTATTCCACACTGTAAAACAAAATGGGTGGTTTGTAAAGTAGAGCGACGTAAAAAACAGCAACCTTACTGCAGCGAATTAAGGCGCCTCTATTCCAACAACAAAAATTTTGAAAAAGCGCCATCGGGTGTTTGGTAATCTTTGTCCTGTTGAACACAAAACGCCTTCTTCCAAACAACTTTACAGTTATTTTTAACGAGCTGACATGTACTCAATAGGGTTTTCAAAGGCTTTACCTATTATCCTTACGAACTAAACTAAATAAACGGAAACTGCGATTTCGTAATTATTAAAAAATATTTATCCACGCGCATTGAGCGAGTTTTTAGTTGTTTTTGGCTAGCAGAGTAATGAAAGTATTCAGGCTGACGTGGTGTTCCATTTTGAGAAATTGCGAACTGAGAAAGCGAAAATAAACGGAGCCTGGAAAGGCATAAGCAAGGACTTTAAGTGATTTAAAGAGTAGATCACAAGTCAAACAGAAATAGGAGTAACTCGGTCTGCTTGACCTTCTGGAGCTACCAAATCCTGAATCTATGGGAGTACACAACGACATGTCATTTGTCTGCCAGTCTGCCGAAACGAACAGGCAAATAACAAGAGCGCAAAAGATGACAGGCTGTTGACAGCGGCGTATAAGGGCCTTTGTCAGCCTGTCAGACCCTCTCTTAGGCCCATGCGCTTGCTTTGTTTACGTATTTTTTCTTCCGCTTGCAGATATTACCTTAGACATTTTCTGGTTAGGGAAAACAGGGAAAAGCCCGAAAATGAGGTCGAATCGGCTGACCCGATCTTGCGTGATTTACAGCGAATAATAGACTGGAAACGCTTAGCCGAACCTGTCTACGAGGTTGCTATAACTCCGTGCTCCGGGGGCGATTTAACTGTATCGACGGGCTTTACTCTATGAGAAGGATAATTCCTTTGGCAAACTTAAATGACATCTCCGGCCTATTACCTTTGGGCCAAAAGTGACAAAAAACTAGTCCGGTATAGCACGTTGCGCAAAATATCGCAAAGCGTTCTCCACTGCCCAAAATTAAAGATGTTTCTAGTAAATTTTCTTCCCAGAGTCATTCAATTTGGGCCCTGACAGCTGTTCAGTGACAAGCTCCAGATCACACGCATTGAAACAGACCTGCTGAAGAAGACTTATTCCCGAAGACTGCTATGAGGAGCCATGTTTTTTCTTAAGATATTGATTGTAAGCGGCCTATGCAAAGTCGGCCCTCACGCAAGGCAAGTGACTACTCTTCAATGGACGCCGAAGTTGACAATCCACTACTCAAAGCAGAAAGGCATAAACTGTTGCGCACATAAATATACTAGCTCCGGAATTTTTATAAAAGCCAGTGATACAATCTTTATTCGATGGCCAGTATCAATAGGCAAATTGAGATCAAAACGAAATATTATTTAACTGTTTGTTCCTTTGTATGCCCGCCACCTCATGGAAACCCTGCAACGTCCAAAAATCGATTTCACAAGGAGATATATGGTGGACCTTAGAAGAATGCTAACGTATATTAAGCTCCAGATCTAAATGTGCTTTCACTTAGAAAGGATTTGTTTACAAATTTTGCAATGTCTAAAACAGTTGGTCAGAAACGCGGATCAAAAGCGATATATGCACAGTAAACATCGCTCTAATAATGCAGCATGATTTTATGTCGGAGAAACTGTCTTATGCGGAAAAAGGCTTTTCTGAATGGTGACTAAAGACCGGCGCAGTTGACTTTTTGGGAAGTCCATTATGCAGCATGTATCTTGAAAGGCCTGTACTGAGTTGTCTATTGTTTTTAGAAAGAACTAACTGGGACTAAATTATAAATAACAACTTTGAAAAGTCCTCTACGCTTCATAAACTTAGGTTTTCACTAATCATGAATAGTTCTGCACAATTATTTAAAAAGGAGGATCCCAAGATAGTTCAAAACGTCGCCTCCAATATTTCAGACTTGCTGGAGCTTTTTAATAGGGAACATTAGGAAAAACAGGCAACCACGATCCGTTAATCTGTATAATGAATAAGGGGCCTGAAACGTGGAAAATTTATTAAATCGGAAATGTTGGCACTCCTACCTCATATTCTAAAACAACGCTCGAACTTCCGAAATAAGCACAAAATACGCAGTTTTACTTGTGTTTTTTAAAACGTGCATATCTCACATCAAACTCAACGTTGTGTTAGGCGTGCACAATAGATATCTGGGGTTTTCAAGCAGTTATCAATATACTTTTTAAAACGCAAAGCTGTTTCCTGCAGATTTATATAGAATAAGCGGACCTGAGCAAGTTTTTTAATGTGTAATCCTATATTTTTACCCTGGGCATATTCTGAAAATTTGAACTAGCGGAAGTATGACTTTTTGAAATCTCGGGAAAGTATTTTGTTTCTTTGTTTGTCGACATTTTCCTACTTACGCATTCTAACATCTCAGGAACTAATAGGGAAGTAACGTGGTTAACTCCAGAGCTGTGGAAATAATTTGGCTTTTCCATACATTCTTCTTGACTTAAATACGTTCCGTGCAAGGACCCTATTCTTCTTAAAAGCATAGTTAACAGCAAATGCTACCTACGGGTCTTCGTCTTCAGCAAATTATCTTAGTGTCCTGCAATTTACAGAAAGTAAAAACAACCTATGGTAAATAATTGCTTATATAAAAGTTTGCAACATATCGCAGTAACAAGGTTCAGGAATAAAAACCGCATGATGCTGTGAATAACAGCCATCAGACAGTCTGTAGTATACATGCTTTGTATATATGTATGTCAGGTTGCAAAGACTAATATTTGCCGAAGTAAGGTGAGTGTTTTAAGCATGTGTGACCCGTATGATCAGTTGGGCACAGCATTCCAAGGTTGGGGATGCGGAGAAACGAAGGTATGCGGGAAAGATGGACTTCTGTAGGCAATAAGTCAAGCAATAGGCCGGTGATATTAAACCGTAATCGTGATTTTGACAACGCCCCTACACTGTCCAGCGCCCTTATCCGCTTCACGGCCCCACAATGAACGAAAATGAGTGCTGAAGACACGAAAAAAACAACAGATAGCGGTCGATTGTTACTGACAGTGGCTGACCCCCGAACGTGCGTATCTTGTTTGAACGTAAACACCTTAAATTCCCACCGCGCGCCCCACAGCATGGTGGCGCAGGCACATTGACTTGCGCACGATTACGTTTATTGTGGGTTTGCGCTGCATCTGGCGAATTCCCTCCTCCTCTCCCACCTAGATCCGGAGTGATGACAGAGCCAAGAAGGCCGAAGGCGGGAGAGGGCGCAGGTGGTTAGCACTGAGAAACCCCGCACCTAGGCGTACCGTCATACCGTCTGGTCCACAACATGCACCGACTAGGATTTTATGCCACAACACAAGTAAGGCGGGCTAGTGGCACGGATACCAGTTGACGCAGAGTGGACCGACAACTCTGCGCGCCATCACACCCCAACGCTGGCATTTCATAAGGGACTGCATTTACGATAATGCCTGTCGGTCCGGCACACTGACACAACACGCCACAAATACAAAGTAAAAGCCTTAATTATACTCTGGCCCAACACCAAAGATTTTGAGATGTAATTTTGAGCGACAGTTGTTTTGCTAGCCGTCAATAGAGAACAGAATCCCTCTGCGCTGACCTCTTCCCGCAAAACACGTACTAGAAATTGTGCAACATGTTTGAACATTTAAGGTCTATCTTGAGGTCAACATTTCGCCCTGCATTTGTGTAGTAAAGGTAGTACTTTTTGGTCAGTATTTAAGTTAGTGTTTGTAAATAGTGTCGGAAGATAGTGTCTTATTTGTCCGTCGGATGCTGAGAAAAGTTGAGTTATACCCTACTGGGTGCTGAGTATAGTCAGAGCCCTTGACAAGCGTGGGGAAGAGGCCTAAGAAGCTTAAAGAAACTGGACTGAAACTGGGTTGGCAGTGTTATCCGGCTTACATGAGTCACTTGTGAAGGTGGCAGCTCCCCGTTTCTAAGTGCTCGCATGCTAAAACAGGGCGACGGACGTCTCAAAATAGCGTCCGTGGGTAGAACTCTAGTGCCGAGATTGTCCTCAGCCCGGAAAAGGAGCCGAGTAACAGCCCTCTGACACCGCTTCCTTCAAAACTTCTATAAGAATAGTTTGTTGGAGAGATGATTTGTGGCCGTAGACCATTTATTTCGATCTAACAAATGCAGGCGAGCGACGAAATGAAATTCAGAGATGCAATATAGAAAGGACTATGCGGAACAAATAAATCACAGCGTGATTATTCACAGCGCCATCACCCAACGCATCCAAAAAGCGGGGAACAAAGTTATATACAGCCGTCCACGTGCAATTCGTTTTTACGCGCAGTTATTTCATACTGGTCGACGTGTTGTAACTCGCATGAATTAGCACAAGCTGCTCAGTCGTCTGTTTTGTTCACACGCACATGTACACGCGTCTACCCTTCCCACTGGGAAGCCACTGAGGCTGTCACCATGGCCACTAACGGACACTCGTGAGAACTTCGCAAGGTTTGGCTTTCCGAAGCAGGCGGCATGAATCGCAACGTTGAGCATGAAGACTTGTGAGCAGACCTGGTCGGTCCTCCACGGTCACCGTAAAAGTGCAACAAGAATTGGCCTCTATCCGGACGTCTGTTTACTCCTTAGCCCATCGTTAGTTGCACACCTGTCAACCTCTACTCGTTTTCACCTTCTTCTTGCCGACTGCTGATATACACAACTAAACGATAACGAAAGTTGGTCCGTGGCCAGCCTACTGTCTGCCCACTGAATCGTCATTGTCCCTGCGTCTCCTGGTCTGCACCTTTAGCCCTCGCTCGCTTTCTCCATACGCACTCCCATTAGCATTCACGACGCGTGTAAACGTGCGACCTTTAATGTTTATTTCGGCTGATAATGGGAGCCTACTTTGCCAACTTGAGATGCATGCATTCCTCACGTGAAAGTAGGCGTTAGCCTCAAGGGTCATTGATACTATATGACCCGCCATTACGCCCTGTCGATGAAGACAAGTCAGGAGCATATTTACACTCGCACCCCAAAATCTGGACTGTCATACTTACTCTGCCAAGGACGTTGCTTCTTACAGAGGATCCGGAGTGTACGATGAGGTCAGAAGAACAGTCGCGAAAATACCAGACACCTGGAAGCACGCAGATGAGAGATCATTGCGAAGCAAGTTTCAAGGTGTTCCGCACTTCGGGGTTTGTTATGGCTGGCCGACGACGGCTAATAGGGCAGAAATGGCCATTCCAGTCTCTGCTGTCTTTGTCGGTAATGCCATTCTGCGTATATCATGCGCTGATGTGCGGCTGTTGGTTGGGCTTGAGAGAAAAAGAGCTCCAAGACACAACGGGGCGAGTGAGTTCTGAAAAAACATCACCGATGATCGTCCCTCTACTATTATATATAGGCAGAATGGTATTAGCGACAAAGACAAGGGAGGCTGGAATGGCCATTTCTGGCTTATTAGCCGTCATCAGCCAGCCATACCCAAGCCCGAAGTGTAGAACACCCGAGCCTCGAACTCGCGACCTGTTGGTTTAGAAGTCCACGCCTCTACTCGGGTGTTCCACACTTCGGGCTTGGGTATGGCTGGCTGACGACGGCTAATAAGCCAGAAATGGCCATTCCAGTCTCCCTTGTCTTTGTCTGTAATACCATTCTGCCTATATATCATGCGCTGCTGTGCGGCTGCTGGTTGGGCTCGAGAGAGAGTCCATAAGGCACAACGGAGCGAGTGAGTTCCGTATGAACGATCGGTGAGCGCCCCCTACCACTATTATATATATATATGTATGTATCCTAGCATTCTCTACGCAGCAGCTTACGACCAGTCTAGACTGGAGCCCCATTGGCAAACTTCAAAGACTATAAACTTTAATGCAATTGGATCAATAATCGCCTCGTCTTCGCTATGCTGATGCAACCCGCAAAGTCCCGTTGCCGCCTAAGGACATGTTTGAATCTGTTTGCTATACTGACTGTCATGACTGTTCGACCAACTACCGCGCAATTACCAAAAAATTTTTCTCTCAACGCCGTTCCCGAGTGCGCTCTCACCGTTAGGCGCGGAGGCCCATAGCCGCTATGCAGGTTAATAAACACGTGGGAAACAGGCCGGTACGAGAATTAATCGAATCTCAGCACTCTAGCGACCACTTTAGTAGCCTCAGATTCGGCCGGGCGCCAGCCTTTGAATGACATTTGGAGGGCCAGACACTAGGTGGCACGCCTTTACTGCCTGCCAAATTACCCAAGCCAGGAGCGTTTCCACGCTCATAGATGGGAGATCTTTGCGAAGCAAGAGGCATTCTCCTACGCTTAATTGAAAGTCCTTCACCGATGCTTTGACGAGAACGTCTCTCTTAAATAATTCGGAAATAAACACCCTTTGAACACTGACCCATGTCGAGAAGAGAATAATCTGGGCGTTGATATAAGAATAATACCATAACATTCACATTTTGCCAGCGCACGAGCTAGATTAGGTGTGCAAGCAGGCCATGCAGTAACAGGCATCGTTTTTTCTCATCTAACGCAAAACCTGTCTGCCGTACTGCCGGCAGTACGCCTTATTTGTTGAATGGGTGGTACATGGTTATTTGGAAGTGTTGGTTGTACCAACTTAAGTGTTCTTTAATAACAAATTCTCGTCTCTGACAATAAATTCCATGTCTTTCACCTAGTAATTTCCAAATTTTTTTAGCTTTGTGTGCATGTAGCTATATCGAAGGAAATAAGTCCTCTGGGAAAGACAACGGAGTTTATTTCTCAAATTTTAGACTCTAATTCTACAGGCCGTCTTCAGATATGAAGCAAGTGTACGAAATAATTAGGATATAAACTTACTAAAATCGATATTGCACTGTCAGTTCTTCAAGTCGGCATAACGTCCTAATTGGCTATCGACTGTTCCATTTTTATTTGAGGTTGCTGTAGACGGTTTCTGATTCAGTGTGCCCATTTTCCAGTTTATATACATATAAATTAGAATTGCGTTTGCCAGTCAGGTTACGTAACATGTTCGTCTTGTTATGCTATGTGGTCTAGTCTAGAACCCTCGCAGCCAATCACATAGCGACCATTAGTTTATGCTTAATTGGAACACTTCGAGGGAGTTGATGCTGGTTTGGTTATTTCCCTACTAACAACTTTCCTAGTTTAAGTTGTTCTTGCTTTTCACTAATGACAAACGCGCCGGCAGAATACATGTCACCTACACTTTTATGGGACCCCGACGGGTCTTTAATGAAAATTATTCTTTATTTATTTATTTACAAGTGAATGTCCATTAGGCGGGGTTCTCGCCGTGTTGCTCGCGCCACCTAGGCTGTTAGACTCCCCATTCAGAAGCATTCATTTTCTTCTGCTGGTGCCTGCGAAACCCCTACAGTCGTAGGAATGGATTGGAGATGCGAAGGAACCTTAATTAACAGCCTTATTTACTCCGCACCCTGCTGTTTGAACGATGCGTGCACATCGCTAGGGACAGAAGCGGTTTCGGGGCAAAAGGTGGTCAGCTTACTTGGCTGTTTGTCTCGTTGCGAAAAAATTAAACTGAATATTGTCCGTATCTCGCAAATAACTAAAACTGGGCTTTTAGGGCTAACTTGGCGGTTCGACCGTCGCGCTCGACGATGAGCAAGGTGGAGCGGACACGGTGACTTGCGCGTGATTTGGTTTATTGTGAGAGTAGACTTACGAAGCGTCTACCGAATTCTCTCCTCCCCCACCTGAGCCCGATTTTAAGACATACACAAACAGACCATCGGCGGGCGGGGGGGGGGGTTCAGATGGCTGGCGCGACTGAGCCCGCGCCTAGGCGCACCGCTACACTCCCTGACCCACAACGTATACTTGACCAGGATATTGACCGACAACAAAATTGAGTCACAAAGTGGAGGGGATGACACAAGTCAGTGGGTAATAATGCACACAGTCTGTATACCCAGCGAGAGCGTTAGGGCGCCTACCGGTAGGGAATTAATTGCTAGAGAAGAGCCAGTGAGCACCAGGCTGCAAGGGTAATGGTTTGCTGATCATAGTGCAGTAGACGCTCGCAATCCTTTAACCCTAGAAGTGCTGGAGACAGACCTGCATTTAACATGGGTCGTTGCCCTTCAGAGGCCGGGTAGCCTCCTGAGAGACACTACCAATATAGGATTAGCTAAAAAGCGTAGGCACGGCATTATCGCTACAACAAGCGGCACACACAGTGCGTGACCGATCTCATGAAATGTTGGTCAAAATTCTGGGATGCGTTTCCGATTAGGAAGGATTACTTAAGTGAAGTTGTTATACTGACTACCATGCAGCATAACCCTATAACATTTTGGACTTGCCACGATGTCGGCTTCTGAGTGCACTTCTTTTTGACATTCTGCAGAAACCACACTCGTTAAAAAATGGCTGCTTAAGTAGCATGCATTTTTCTTATTGATCTTCGATGGTATTATGAATTCAAATATATTTTATAGAGAAAATGCCCAACAATGTGCTTTCTTTTGCTCATTCGCTAGGAAATCACATTGTCTTCATATTTTATGCCCGAAAGAGGTGTGTATTGAAGTCTTGAAAAAGTTTCCCGATTCCCGAATAATTTTCAGCCTGAACTGTCATTGCATCAGCGTTTAGCGATTTCAGTCTACAAGGTGCGCGCTTTCCGTGTAAGGAAAATCATATATTTCTCTATGCCTTTAAGAAGATACCACATAAAAATCATGAAATTTTGCGATGGATCCGGACTGTGTTTTACATTTCATGATGAGTATTAGTAAACGGACATGTGCGGTCTTGCATGCATGGACATCACACGCTCTTAAAAACTTCATAATTAGAAACTTTTTAAAACCTAAATACACACTTTCTTCGGGCATAAAATATAAAGACAATGTGACTTACTTCCAAATGAGTAAAATAAAGCATATTTCGTGCATATTTTCTATAAAATGTATTTAAATTTATAAGACCATAGAAAATCAGTAGAAAAAATGCATGCTACTTACTTGTTCATTGTTTACCGTGTGTGGTTTCTATAGGAGGTCAAAAATGAGTGCATTCAAAAGTCCACATCCTGACGAGTCCAAAAGGTTATAGGGATTTGCTGCATGAGAATCAGTATAACAGCCACACTTAAGTAATCCTTCCTAATCGAAAATGCATTCCAGAGTTTTAGCCAACATTTCACGAGATCGGTCACGTACTGTAACTTGGAAGGGCGGATGTGTAGGGCTTGGCTTGCTTTGCACTCAAACTAGAGAGCGAGATACTGGTAACTTTCAAACAGACGATAATCACTGTTTCCAACGTCCTTGCAGTCATTCGTCCGTCATGCCCGAACAGGGGCGAAGAGTTGCAGGACTCTTTGGTCATTAAGCGTCAAACGCTCAGCCATTGAGATACTAGCGCGCCGATCTGCAGGTTGTCTAATAATCAAAAGAGCCGGTTTCAAACCGCCAGATCGTCGGCATACTCGGGATCGAATACTGACCGGTGGATAATGGCACATAATTCCAAAATGGCCATTCCAGTCTCCCACATGCTCGCCAGTCAATCTCCCCGATTGCTGACTTTTCGTCACCATTCTACTCATTATCAGGGCTCTGGACTGGGGTTAAACGACCTTACATTTGGGACAGACGATTGAGAGCCAGGCGCATGCACCTTCAGTGAACCATGCATGGAACAGCTGGCTGCTGTCCCAGGATGACAACCACCCACGTTTCTCAGGGTCTAGGGGATGGCAGCGGAGCTAGGCGGTACGAGGTACCGGTCATCAATCAGGTTAAGGAACATGCTCGTCCCTTTGGGCCTTGTGACTTAATCCACAGTTCGTCCGTCATCGCCGAAGATGCCAATCGTGTACTCCGCAACGAGGTGAAACAGGACCGGTGAATTTCGCAGACTTGCGCAGAATCTACCGCACTCCCTTCTCCACTTGTACCCCGTGTCAAGATAGAGTCAAAAAGGCCGGAGGCGGGAAAGGCCGCAGGTGGATGGCACGGTCGAGACCGCATCTTGGCGTTCCACTCCCCACACACGCCATGGTTGACGTCTGTCGAAAATAGGGTCCGCAACCGCACCCCGAAATGTTGACATTTGTCGTGGTGCGCGTTCCACTAACGTCCGTCAGGATCTGTCCTGGTCCAGCGCATCTACCAGGCATCTACGGGCGGCCGGATAGCGGACAACATTGATGCCTGTCCCGTTACCCCCCCCCCCCTCCCCAGCTAAGGGCTCCGTGGCTCAGTGGTAGAGCGTTGATCTAAAAACGCTCATCGGCCTAGGAATTCGGGCTTGAATCCCAAGTCGTGCTAAACTGCGGTTGGGTATGACTGAGTAAAGAGTATACCAATAAGGCCGAAACGGCCATTCCAATTTCTTTTTTGCCAGCGGGCCTGTTAAACATTCGTTGCGGGAAGTGCTCAGGAAGAAATGAGGTTTTAAATCCGACTCGTATTCAGTACTAAGCATGATGTCCTACCAGATGTTGCAAGTTCGGCACGCCTGACCTGAGTTATGGCTGACCGATGGTTAAAATTAAGCCGATAATAGTCATTTTAGACTCTGTAGTCTTTACATTTCATAGGTATCAGAAAGATAATGCTTGAGAATCTACAGACGTAACGCCTGAACAGCTAGAGTGAGACCTAAGAGAGAGATCCGCGCACAGCATTAGACGCCCGTTTATGTAAACTGCACACGCACCATTCAATGCCTGAATTATTCACACCGGATGAATAAAGACGATGACCTCAGCCATGCAAAAGTCAGGCGCACCAATCACAGCCCTCGTTTGAACAAGCAGTCCTTTTGCAAGCAGCAGAACATTTGTTTAGTTAACCATAGCTATTCGCCTGTTATAGAGAGACGGAGAATGTTAATTATGCGTTGGCTAGACACACGGCTTTCACGGCCATTTGCAGCGAGAGAGCAAATAAACGACAACGAACTGCAGATGAAGTTTTTTTGCGAGAATCTCGCTTTGCAAATCATTTGCGAACACCAAATTTTCAACCCCTAGAAAATTCCTTGGTCAGAATTACTCATTTTACCTTGTGCTGACTGTCACCAACGTTCGCACAATTTAATATGACAGCCAGGGCTTTCTCCAACTAGGAAGCGGCTTGCATTGGGCTTCCACCGAACTCTGGACAGCCAGAACTCTCTAAAGAGCACAGTGCGTCCGGATTGGTTGGACGTGCTCGGAGGGTCGCGCACGCACGCACGCACGCGCTGAGTGCAACCAATCATCACTTGACTTCCAGGGACGTCGGCACACCGAACCGGATTAGGCACGTCAACCTAACAATAGCTGGCTACGGACGTGTCTGTGTGTGTGCGTTTAAGTGTTAAGCCTGTCTGTGTGTTTCACGTTCTGCCGTAGTCAGCGGGTTCAGTCCGTTTGACAGGCGTGTTTAAACTAGCACACGAGACGTACTTCCGCGGTCGGGAAGACCCTAGGGACCTGTTTAGACCGTTTATCCGCTGGATCTTACCGCAAACCCGTCAGGTAAGGTGTCAGGTGATAAGCATCTCAATTCTATTTTCTCTTGAATCTAACAATGCCTTCCTGTTATGACATTGGGTAGGGGTGAGACTAGGCTGTTTTATTGCGACATCTGTAAAATCTAACACTGAGGAAAACTTCAGCACGCATCCGTCACAGAGTCGTCTTTCTTGCATAGTCGACGAGGGCGACCGCTTGTTGTGAGTAACTGCTTGGCCTAACCCCTATTCTTTAACATGTTTCCTTGAATGCAATAAAAGTGCATTCGGACGTGACTCTAGAGTATTTAAAAGCGTTGATTTTCCTGCAAAGAGGCGATACCAGCCCCCACTATTTGAAAGGGCAATTTTGGACTCCGAACTGTTAAAGCAGTTTGTTAAATTCGACTGAATCTCCCTGGTGTCCAAATATAATAATAATTTTTTATTCAAGACCCGTGGGGGTGGGCATCAAAGCACAACAAAAATTATGTAAATTATCTGACATTCGTACTTATACTTGTCTGTTTTTGTAAGATTTCTGATTGATCGAGTGAAGACTAAATAAACCCGAAACGATTCCGCATAAATCTACTCTCTCATTCGCTGTCGTATCCTCTCTGCTGGCATAGCTTAACCGAGTTGGGCCTGGTCGCCTGTTCGTGACCTCTGCCACTAATACGAAGCGTATTTGCTTCGGGGGCCGGTGGAACGGTGTGTGTGTGCGCGTCCATTCCCGACTTATGCTTCAACTTATACTTATATTTACTATACTTATAGAATGGCTGAAGATGAGAACTTCCAGTGTGGCAAATGCTCTAAGAGCCTGATTGGACAACGATACATCCTCAACGCGGAGGTGCCCTATTGCATCGAATGCTACGACGCTAACTTCACAAATGTGTGCGCTGCCTGCGGCGAAAGAATCACCTCATCCTCCAAGGTAAACGCAATTTCCGGTTTTCAAAATCACCCCCCCCCCCGTTAAAATTCCCTAAAATTCATTTGATCCAGTTGTGAAAAACCCTGCGGCCTCGATGGGATAAGAACGCACGACAGCACTAGGGGAACGTAAGTACAGCCGGCGCCTTAATTACCTGAACTACGAGGCCTCACCAGGCACCGTGTGTTTACTCACATTTTGGTCAAGCTGTAGTGTTCGAGCCACCCAAGGGTATGGGTTTGCCCTCTTCCTCTATGCGACAGTCTGTATATGCCTCCCTAGTGTTTCTGTCAGGTCATGTATCTTCTTGGCTGGAATCCTGAAAACTAGCGCGAAATGAGCTCATCATCCTCAAATACAAGCGTATGCAGGTAAAATAGGTTGACGATGGGAAGGTTTATTAAAAAAATATATCAATACGTAGTAATTAATCCTGTTCTGGCTTTTTTCCGACTTCCTCCTTCTGGGCGGTCTCTCGACTAACCCTCTCACACCCTTCTATTGCGGCAACTAAAAAACTTCCAGTTTGAAAACCAGGTGAGTCAATGAAGGACAAGAATGACAAGGTCACATTTAAATAACAAGTTCGGGTTGCCCTTCTACAAAGCTACTCACGCAACCTACTGCAACGTACTGAATCTACCAATTCTGATACAGTTAGCTGACTGCCCAAGTGGGATTTCGTAATTAATCGACCTGGAATTCAGGAGATGATTAACGGGTCCATTTAATTAATTGGTTTCCTTGCCAACTGGCGACTTTCAGACGTTTAAGTTGACTGCCTTTAAAAAGAGAGGTGTTTTGTGGGTTTTGAAACTTGCGATAATGATAGCACGAGGAGATTTCTGGTGAATGGCCTACCATGCTGATGCAGACACTCCCAATTCAGTAATACTTAAAAACCAAAAAGGATAGATGGAGACAAAATTTTTTAATGTAACCGGATGAGCTGCAACTCGGGAAAAAGGATTTTTAGGTGGTTAAACACTTCAGAATACTTTGGAAATATATTTCTCTACATATAGTAATTCTGGTCAAAGTTCGATTCCAGCTGCGTTACCGAATTCTGCATTAGATCAATATTATTCGACTTCCTTCCGATGTGGGGTGGCTAACATAGTTTTGTCTCACATCCAGCGATCTGTCCGAACTCAGCCGTCGGAGACTCATGACTAAAAACTAAAACAGGTCTCTGAAGGCCTTTGAGCACACGGATTGTGATCAGGAAAGGACCTGAACGTTTTTTACGTTCCAAGACACCTAATGTACCCAATGAGTTGACACAACCGTCGTACTGATGTATGTTTAGGGTAAGAGTGTATGCCGATTTCTGGGTTGCTAATACTCCGCCTTAGAAGTATTATTGACTCGTACAATTCTTAGAATGGAGAGGGTGTCCGGTGTACTTTTCCTATGCGGCCTAGATTTTGCTAAAAATATTTTCCTAAGTCGCAAAATGTTACTGTTTTTACTGCTGTTTTGAGACTTTTGTGGCACTTTAGAATTGCGGCGGGTATGGTGACTTGAAAATTTCTTTTTTAGTTGGTTGGTCTGAGAACGAAGAGATAGGTCGATTTGAATAAACTGAACTCTGTTGTCGGTTTGTCAGTAATGAGAAATCGGTCGGATCTCATTTCGTAACAGTACCTGCAGTAGAAAAGCTCCAGCCCAGCCCCTATCCCCTAACCTTAATCTAACCTTAAACATCAGCCCCTAACTCTCAATCCCTAACCCCTACCCCTAACCTCTGACCCCTAGCCCTAAACCCTAAAAGCTGCGGCTACAAGATAGGATCTTGCCGAGAAATCATATCAAAAGGGGAGCGATATGCTAGTCTACACATTTTAAACGGCTTCCTCAACTTGACTTGACGAAGACGTATGGTTATTTTAGTTATCGAATAAATTTCTTCATTGCATACACAACTTTCCGAAACGTTTCGTCCAAAGCATAAACCTTCGAGGTAGACATAAACAAGCAAATAACCCGATAAGACAAACTCTGGCAGGCATTTTGATTCCGGACTTACCTATTAAACCAAAAGGCAGCATCCAATCAACTCATCTCGGTTTCCGGCGTTTGCACCTAGTCGCCGCGGCCACGATGACAGGACTCTGTATCGTTAGTTTGCCTCTCGAGTGCTCAACGAGCATATGTGCCCCTCGAGCACGCGTTCCTCATTTCAGTTAGATTACCCGTGTTTGAAAAGGCATGCTTCCGCTCACGGGGATGCTGCATGAACCGGAGTTACTTTTCTTCTCTCTCTTCAGGACCTCTCCTTCCAGGACAAGCACTGGCATGAGGCCTGTTTCTTGTGCAGTCAGTGCCAGAAGAGCCTGTCGGACAAGCCGTTCGCCACCAAGGATAATGGCATCTACTGCCCAGACTGCTACGATGAGAAGTTCGCGGCCCGCTGTGATGCCTGCGGCAAGACCTTCAAGGCTGCCATGCGCAAGTACGAGTACAAAGGCGGCGCCTGGCATGAGGAGTGTTTCCTCTGCAGCGAGTGCAAGCAGCCCATAGGGACGAAGAGTTTCATTCCTCGCGGCGACGCCATCGTCTGCATTGCCTGCTATGAGGACAAATTTGCCCAGAAGTGCGAGAAGTGTAAGCAGGTACAGGACAATCTTTGTAGTTCTTGCCAGATGCAGACCTGCTTTTCTTCCGGGGTTTCAGGTTATTCCCGCCGCCGATGTGGTGCAGACTCGCAAAGGCTGCTTATACGGTTCCGTGTAGGTTTTAGTGGACAAGATTACGCATTCATGCCATGCGTTAGCACTTCCGCTGGTTGAAGTAATTGACCGCGGCTGAGAGGTTGTTTGAGGCTGTAACACCACCCAGCTGTGATGCTGTCAGATTATACTATTTCTGTAATGATCCACAGCCTCAGTTTGTTTGGGGAAACTCATATTGAGGCTACATATTTGAGAATACTCCACGGGTTCCTCTTCCGTCGTTCAACTTAGCTCGAAAGTATAGTAGGTGGGCTAACTCACGAAATGTCAACCGAAATTTCGGAATTGTGTTCGTTTCGAAAAGACTAATTAAGTAGGGTTGTAAAACTAATCAGCCCGCAGTAAAATTCTATAATAATGCAGTTACCTCAAGATGCCGGTCTTCGGACGAACGTCCTTCCGGCTGCATACATAAACCAGACTTTGTAAAAAATGACTACGTATGTAGCATGCATTTTTCTCATTGATTTTTGATGCCCCTAAATGTCCAATTATATTTCTTAGAAAACATGCATAAAAATATCCATTCTTCCGCTCCTTCGGTAGCAAATCACGTCTTCTTCCAATTTTATACTCGAAAGAAGGACATAACGCGAATTTCAAAAGCTTTTCCAATTCCCGGCTAATTTCGAACCCTCTGTGTCCTCACACTTGCATTCGGGGTTCCCAAACTGCCTGCCATATATTTTCTGCGTGCAAAAACATACATTTCACTACGGTATTAAGAGGAGACCATATGGAATTCATAAAATTTGGCATTGGATTTGATCCATATTGCTAGCTTTACAAGCCACATTGGTAAATGCAGAGACATAACGTTTTATGAACGGCCATTTCACGGTATTTAAAAGTCTCACAAATAGAAACTTTTTGAAACCGAATTTTGTCCCTCCTTTGAGTACAAAATTGCAAGAAGACGTAATTTTCTACCGAATGAGCGAGCGAACAAATATTTTTCTGCAGGTTTTTCATGAAATATAATTAAACATTTAGGGCCATCGAAAATCAATGCGAAAAATACAGGCTACGTAAGTAGTCATTTTTTACAAAGTATGGTTCATGTATGCAGCCGGAAGGACGTTCGTTCGAAAGCCGGCATCCTGAGTTAACTAAATTATTACAGAAGTTTACTGCAGACTGATTAGTTTTAAAACGCTACTTAATTAATCTTTTCGAAACGAAAGCGCATTTCGGGATTTCGGTTGGCATTTCATGAGTTAGCCCACCTGGTGTAGGTAGCCCCAGGGGGATTTAAAATGTCGTGCAGGACTCCCGAACTCCAATTCCTGCTTCCGAGGAACGAGAATTCAGTGTCCGTTCGTATGCCATAAGGCATGCTACACACTGTAGGATTACGGGCCAGATCCCTGCTCACAACACCCCCTGGTGGGCTGGGAGGCCGAATTCGGCTAAGCGTCAGCGGACGCAGAAAAGTTTGCAATAGGGCCGCAGTATGTTGAATTATAAACCCGGCCTCAAAATTCCTAGGGCAGACTGAGTGCAGATAGGTGGATATCGCTGACACGAGCCTCTACCTTTGGTTCCAATTAGCCAAGTATTTCTTCAGTTGTGAAGAACTTTTGGGGTCAAAAAGAGGAGACCTCTGTCCATTTTTCATCTGACTCTAACTTCTGGAATCGGCAGTAAAATATTAATGGTAGGAGTGTCACTGCTGACAGGGAAGATTCCCCCTGCTAAATTCCCCAGAATTATAATATTCCGTCCTATAGAGTACAGTGTATTCAATTTTCAAATACGGAAGCCGAAACTCAATCGCTCATTCAGTCAGTTGACCAACAGAATGCGACCCGATGGGACAATTGAACTGTGTTTTCCTTTGAGTTACAATTCTCAACATCTCACATCCCTTTGAACTCTACAAAGTCTTTCAGAGAGCCAAGTGACTGTCTCAGGTAAACAAACTACAAGCAAGGGGGATGTTAGGAGATTTTCATGAAAAACAGAGGGACACCGAACCTCCCTGCGACTGCTCAGCCCTTATAGGACAAGACTTTTATGTCGTTAAGGCCTATCTTCTCCAGCTGTCTTGGAGATCATTCTGCAAGATTAGATTACCGGGGAATTAGCACAGATATCTATGTCTGGGACTGTTTAGAGGAATTAGTCAGTAGTTGGAAGTTGTGGTTTTTATACTGTCGACATAAACTGATTGGCGCATTACATGAAGGGAGTAAAGACGAGGGAATAGGCGGGCGCCATGGCGACAATCAGAGTATCGGAGGGAGAAAGTCGGTAGATAATAAAATTGGTAAAGTCGACATGGATTTCCTCTTTCCCCGCGCTGAAGTGGAAGGTGGAGTAAAAACAAACCAAGTCACTTATAACTCAACATAGCACAGATGAGAAGTAGACCAGACGACCGATTTCTCCTAGCCACCATTGTGGACTGCCTTTTAAACCTGTTTCAACTGGCTGGGATCAGTTTATTGAAGTTAAGAACATTAAAAAATACTAACCTTTAATGGCACCTTCATTCTGACTGTCTCACTCTTTACACAACTATTTTTGCACACTGTAAAGCCTTGCCGACTAGAGCGTCTTTCGTAAATATTGAAGGATGAATCATACTAGCAACTTAGACACGCCAGTTTCGCCGATCTTGTGCCACAGACGCGGGGGTCTCTGCACATCGGAGCATCCACCAGAGGTCCCGTGTTCTCCAGTTTCCATGCCGCCTTGTCTAATTTCCGGGTAAAATTAGTGCGCGAACGCTAAGCAAATCCGGACATGAGAACAGGAGTCGCCTGCATGCGCCGAGATGCGTCTGCTGGTTGGGCTCGAGAGAGAGAGCCCATAAGGCACAACGGAACGAGTGAGTTCCGTAGAAACGATCGGTGAACGCCCCTTACCATTGTATATTCCCGATCGAAACCGACAGGGCAACGAGTCTGCGACTCAGGGGTTAGGGTCGCTGGACTTCTAGCTAACAGGTCGCGAGTTCGAGCCCAACGTTTTCCGCACTTCGGGGTTGGGTATAATTGGCTGATGACGTCTAATAAGCCGGAAATGGCCATTCCAGTCTCCCTTGTCTTTGTCGGTAATGCCATTCTGCCTATATCATGCGCTGCTGGACGTTGTGCGAGACAGTAAACTATCTTTACTTTCTCTGAGTAGGATGGGCTTAGTAGGGAATATTATTTGACAGAATGGTATTACCGACAAAGACAAGGGAGACTTTGTCGGCAATATCATTCTGCCTACATCATGCGCCGCTGTGCGGCTGCTGGTTGGGCTCGACAGAGAGCCCATAAGACACAACGGGACGAGTGCGTTCCGTAGAAACGGTTAGTGAGCGTCCCTCTACCATTTTAGATTCTTTGTATCAACTTCTGATGAAATTAAGGTTACGTTTAAGGTGGTGGTTAGGGTTAGGGATTGGGTTAAAGTCGGAGGTAATGTTAAACAGAAACAAGTTGAGGCTTACGTTAGGGGTTAGGGTTAAGTGTAGACTTGAAGATTGGGATGGGGTTAGGGTTATGATTAGGGAAACGGTTTAGTTTTATGTCAGAATTATTGATGGGGTTAGGACAAGGGAATATTTTGTCCTTTCGAGATTTATGCGTAGGTCTAACTATATTAATTGATCGAGACGTTCCTATTTCCGTGTACTGTTAAGACGTCCGCATAAGTCAGTCCCGCCGTCAATCCCTCAGAACAAACCAATTTTCCGGCTCGGCCCAGAAGTTGATATTAGCATTTCGAACAGGTTCTGAAAAAGCAACGATCCGAAGGCATTAAACCACGTTCGCGCATTAATTCCCCCCCGGGAATTAAACACTTAACACAGGGGTCTTTTGTAGTGCCACATCTGGAAAATAGGCATTTTTGTTGTTGGTGATGGTGCAGGGCGGAGAACTGAGAATATGAGACCGCCTTTGGGGAATCCATTTCTACGACAGATGAGCACATTGCCTACTATTATGAATCAAAAGCGCCTGAATACACAACAACGCGATATCAGTCGTACCAACTTACATGACTTGGTCCTTTTCGGGATCAGGGTCAGTCTACAATGGCTCCTTCTAGGCAGCCCATACTGTAGTCCGTAATTGGGTCCATGTCGTGTATGGCATGCGTAGAGTAGTCATTCAGGTGTGTCAACCACTGCGATCGAACCCGTCGTCGGTCGTCCCGACCCTGTTTTGTTGTTGGATTTAGACGAGCGAGGAGGGCGAGAGTGCGGTAGATACCGCGCAAGTCTGCCTCACTCCAAGCTAATTCCCGCGCTCAATTCGCTGGCGTCACGCCCAATCGGGTAAACATGCGACGGACGTCGCTGACTGCGGCTATCTTACTGTCGGGGCTCTATTTGACCTCGCTGTGAGTTAAATAAGGTGTTGACCGTAGAGTTCATGTTGCCAGCGATGATCTTGCGGGTCCACATAGGTTTACCTGCACCACTGACGGGACAGAAGACCTATATCGTGCCACGAAGTAGACGTCTTGTTAGGTTCGTTACTGGTGACCCTTTCTGTCGACAACACTGTCTTTTGATTGGCCTGGTGGGCGCCCGCGACAGTGTTATCAAGTAAGCCCGAAAGGAGCTTGCCTGGCTTGACTTCGACTACTGTTCACGTCCGGGGCAGACTTGGTTTTGCGGGCCTTTATCAGTGGATAGAAAAACATGTCCTCGTGCTAGGGAACGTTCGCGCACTTTTCCCCGGTCCCTATGATGCGCAGTCAAACTTCCCGTTTTTCTGCACCACCTTCTTGCTCGGATGATACTACTTACTATTTTAACTCGCCAGGTGATTAACAAGGGAGGCATCACGTACAAGGGCCAGCCCTGGCACAAGGAATGTTTCCTCTGCGCCAAGTGTGGTGGACAACTGGCAGGACAGAAATTCACTTCCAAGGACAATGCAATCTACTGTGCTGACTGCTACTCGGAGCTTTTCGCAAAGAGATGCAATCACTGTTCAAAACCCATCAGCGGTGAGTCTTTTGATCTCAAAATCACTCTTAGAATGCGGCGCGCGCGGTCTCGAGAGGCAGATGGAAATGGGGTTGAGATAGGGGAACATACAGTTCTTCGAGGGCATGGAATCGTGTGAAGGCTCAGTTAAGAACTCCTGTTTAATCAACGGAGGTCAGAATAGGCGTACAGTGCGAGCTGAAACTCACAGTGCTCTCACATGTGTCTATGGCTGATCGATAAAAGGCGTGCCTTTACAGTGACCGAGTTTCTGGTTTCCATCGATAATTTCCAGGCTCTATCAAAGAAGTCACTGTTGAACAAGAAAACTATTTTCGCAATGATATTGGGTGATCCTCAACCGCACTTTTTTATGGAACAATTGAAAAAAACAGTTTTGCTTTTATACCATCCCAAATGATATTCAATCTTTTTACCAATGCTCAAACAGTCTAGTAGATGAGAGTACTTTTGAAGCATATAAGTATATGCAAACAAGAATAAGTGCACATCATTCTGTTGGCCGTCGAAGCAGACAAGCCCGGACAGCTTTTCGAAGCTCACAATCAGACAAACTCGGTCAATCTGCGATGGCAAAGAGAGAAATATTGGCAGAAATGTGAGCAGATTGGTGCAGAATCATCTCAGGCTTCTTCCGTCCTCACTCAGTCGGTCATAACCATGACCATCTTCTGAACCCAAAAACGCAAAAACATGTGCACAAAACCGGCTTAGAGATCTGTCAGACGCGTCACAATTAATTCACCGAAAGGAAGTTTATCAGCGCCTCACCGCTTGGCATTCTCTCTCTCTCTCTCGCAGCATATGGATATTTATTCATTCTGGGGTGGAAGTGTACTGATCCACTGGCTCTGTGAGACAAACAAGCTTCGACTGAGTGGCAGAATTCATGAGTGAGCAAGCATATCCCAGGCCGAGTTCGGCAAAGTTGGAATAGCTTAGAAGCTCGCGAAAGTAATGCGGTCAGAATTGTGCAAGGTTTTTCGGGCTTATTTTGCCTTCATTAAGTCCACCATAACCCCGGCTAATATGAATGGCCACAGACAGTGTCTTTATACACGCATATATGCGTTGAAAAACAGGCATCCCAAGAAATATAATTAGAAAGGTGAAGTTCTTTGGGAAACAGCAAAAGTTATTGTGTAAATTTTCGAGAGTGGTTCCCCAGCTCGTCTTCAGACAACGGGAGTGCAAAAACAATTAACTCCTATTTAACTGCAATTAACTTCTATGGGTTCAACCATATCCGGTTTCCTGGCAGAGGCAGTACTACAAAAATTAGAGAGCATAGCGCTTCCCACAGTCAACCCAAAACTTTGGCTGCGATACGTGGATGACACTTTTGTCATCATCAAGAAAAATTAGTTGAATCTGCTCCATACCAATATTAACTCAGTATTTCCAGGAATTGCATCTATTTTCGAAACAGAAGTCGATGAACAACTCCCATTCCTGGATGTCCTGGTATGCCGAAAAACCGATGGATCACTTCAGACATCAGTTTATCGCAAAGAGGCGTATTCAGAGGTCATCTTACACTTAGAGAGTAACCACCCTGTCTCTCACAAACGGAGTACACTCTACAGCTTTCGGAATCGAGCCAAAGTTCACGCTCTGATGAAACAAGTTATCGAGCAGAAATGAAATAACTCTACAAACTGTTCTCCCAAAATGGGTACCCGCATGACTTTATGCGTCAATGCATGAGGCACCAGTAACTCAAGGGAAAAGGTATTTCCAATGATACGGCCGCTCAGGCACCAAAACCAACCACATGGCGAACTCTCCCATGCGTTAAAAATGTATCTGGACTTGTCGAAAGACAATTGAAAAAGTACCAGATACACGTAGCACATCAGCCGGCAACTACCTTACGCACGCAACTTGTACACCCTAAGGACAGGGTTGGCTACCTCGAAAGAAAAAGTGTGGTCTACAAAATCCCATGTTCTAGCTGTGATGCCGTTTATTGTGGCCAAACTCGGAAATCTGTCTTAACCCGTATACATGAGCAGCAGTCAGCGTTGAAGAAACGCGACCACCTATTCCAGGTGGCCATGCACACACTGGACACTGGGCACAAATTTGCATGGGAAAACACTCGCATTGTTGGCGCCTGCCCAACAAGGAAAGGCCGCGAATTCCTGGAGACAATGCACTCAGATGAGGCATGCATCAACCGGCATATCGATTTAGATGCCACATACAAAATCGTTAAGGACAGATTCAAATTGACTCAACCAATCCCGAGATGATGACCTTAACCAATCATAGAATCCTTTTGCCAAACTCAGTCTAGAAGTAAATTATTTTTACACGCCCGTTGTCTGAAGACGAGCTGGGGAACCAGTCTCAAAAATTTACACAATAAACTTTGCTGTGTCTCAAAGAACTTCACCTTTCTAACACACATATATATATTCGATCAGGAGCGGTAGACCTAAGTGGTGAAATAACTGTGTCAGGTTCGTCTGTGCGCATGTTTGTGTTTCCGGTCCCAGCTGCTGGTCAGGGAAAAATAAGCCCAAAACAGTACTGTATCAAGTTTATCCTCACTCTCTGTCCTCTCTTCTTGACACATATATGCATACAGTAGATGTGCTAACTCCTGCAATATTGACAGAAATTCTGAGATGCGTTTTTCACTCAAAAAGAAAACTTAGACAGGGTTGCAATAATAATCACCGTGCAGCATGACCCAATAATAATTCTGTTATTCCTGGACGCCAGCTTTCAAACAAACTTCTTTTTGGCAGCCTGCAAAAATGGCCACTTAAGTGCCATGAAAATTTCTCGTTGATTTTCGGTGTCTTTATAAATTCAGATATATTGCACGGAAACCATGCGTAAAAATATTCATTCTTTTGCTTATTTGGTAGAGAATTACGTCTTCTTAAAATTTTTTACTTAAAGGAAGCATACAAGTCAGATTTGATAGACTTTTCCAATTCCTGAACTTTTTGATACCAACATGCCGCTATACTTTCCAAACAACAAGACTTGTATTTTCCGCGTACGAAAAAGCACATATTTCCCTACGTTATTAAGAGGAGACCGTATAGGAATTTACAAAATGTATCAGTAGATCTGAGTACATTGTAAATTTTGCAAGCAACATTAGTAAATGCAGAGACATGGTGTTTTGTGAATGGGTATTATACGGTCCTAAAAATATCCTAATTAAAGACCTTTTAAAACCGGATTATATCCTCATCTTAAGTAAAAAGTTAAAGATATGGTTCCTTACCCAATGAGCAAGGGGATGAATATCTTTATGCATGCTTTCTATGAAATATATTTGAATTTATAAGGACATCGAAGATCAACGAGAAACATTCATGTTAATCAGGACGCCAATTTTTACAGAGTGCAGTTTAGCAGGCAGCCGAAAAGAAGTTCGTTCAAAAGCCAGCGTCCTGTAGAAATGGAATTATTATGAAACGATACTGCATGGCAATTGGTAGTCCGGCCTTACTTAAGTATTCTTTTTAGTGGGAAACACCTTCCAGAATTTCGGTTAACATTTCATGAGTCAGCACGTCTATAATCTACATATATGAGATGAAGAGGCGATCTCGAGAACCATAGTTGTATTGCCCTGACGTTTCAAAAGCAAACAAGCTTTCATCGTCGGAAGTGAGTGTTGTACCTTGCCTCACAGTATTTATAGGCGGTGACGATCTTGTTACAACGGGTTTACGTCTATTCGGGGGTCGTCGTTCGGACGCTAGCTGTCATCGCACGTGTTTGTATTGATCTTAGCTCTCTTCATAGGCTGGTAATCTTCTTCACCACCCCGCAGCCACTTGTGTTCTCACCTGCCGCATGAGCGGCAGTGACGATTACACCCTCATCGGGTCCGTTCGTTTTCACACCCGCCAGATAATTGGACGACGCGACTGTAGTGACGATCGCACCTTCGTCAGACTCGGGTTGTAGTACAAGTGCGAGTGTGTCCTCAATGGACTAGGCCGTATTTTGGGTTTCTGTCTTGTCGTAGCCTGCCTCTTCTCTTCTGTTCACTGAGCTGTCGATTACTAGTCGTTATATGACTGCCTGTTAGGGACCCAGATTGAATCCCTAGGCGCGACGGAACAATCACGTCCCCTAACTTGATCAGTGAACTCCCATCCCATGATTAACACATGTATATTATATGCGATAAGATCCGGTTAATTGAACTACCATTTATGTGGATAGGAAGAATCTCCTGCCACTTTTTGAAGAACTGAAACAGATTGTTTATATTATCCTTATTTCTCTCCTGCTAACTGGGGACCTAATGCGCGTATATGGGTTGGTTTTTGCTCCAAGTCAGTAACGGAGAGACAATGTTGGATGAATAGTTAGCATTTTGACAGCTAGAGGAATGGTTTGATGGTCGAGAGCTTGGCAAAGTAGCTGGTCTGCCTGTTGTTCACATGTCATTCAACAAATTAACCTCTACATTCAGGGCGCCTGCGAGCGTGGAAACGAGCCTACTGATCCAGGCGCCTACGGACAATTTGTTGTTTACGGACTTTCCCAAGCTGATGTCAGTCGTGCGGTCTAATCGCCTGTTACAGCCACTCTCTTGCATACAAATAGCATGGAAAGTTGGGATGTAACACTAAGCATCAAAGTTTCCCTGTTGGACCGAAAACCAAGTCAACTCTAATAATCGTCAACTGTTGGCAAACTGGGTTTGCCAAAGTCTGCAATTACAGGAATATTGCACAGTAGAATAACTTACGAGACTAAGAACACCTGAAGATCACTCCTGGGTTCCGAAAATGAACGAATTATCTGATTTAGAAATTGATACATGCATTCATAATCCAACGATCCGAAGGTTTGCACTTTGCTCCAATCCCCCCACTAACCGCAGCTTCACCTTAAGGTCACCGGACCTAGTCATAGTCCATCGAAATTTCAAGCGTTTTGGTACAACCAGAAAAAAGACGTTTACCTGAACTGTCTATTAAACAAGCAGAGTATTTATACGACTGTTGTCTTTCAGCATTAGATCTTAAATTTTGGGTGGAATTCCAGTTAGAGAGGGGCATATGAAACCCTATTACGGAAGGCCTTGCTCTAAAGCCCAGGAAGTTAGGGTTTGTGTTAGGACGACTAGGATTAACGTTACAGTGGGTGGGCAAACTCATGAAATGTCGACTGAAATTCCAAAATGTGTTTTCAATTCAAAAAGATTGATAAAGTAGAATTGTAGAATTAATCAATGTGCAGCATAGGTCTATAATAATTCAGTTACATCAGGATGCTAGCTTTCGAATGAATTTCTTTCCGGCTGCATGCAAAAGCTATTCTCTGTAAAAAATGACTACTTCAGTAACATGCATTTTTTCATTTATTTTCGATACTCCTATAGATTCAAATATATTTCATGGCAAAAATGCATAAAAAGATTCATGCTTTTGATCATTCGGTAGAAAATGACGTCTTTTTCTAATTTTATACTCGTAGTTAGGGTAGGATTCGCTTTTGGCATGTTTCTAATTGTGAGATTTTTTTAATACCTTGAAATGGCCGTTCATAAAACGGCATGTCTTTGAATTTACTAACATGGCTTGTAAAGTTAACAATATGGTTCAAATCCACTGCTAAATTTTATGAACCCCATATGGTCTCCTCTTAATACCATAAAGAAATGTATGGTTTTCCGCAGGCATAAAAAGTATACGGCTTGTGGTTTGGGAACCTGAATGCAAATGTAACGGCAGGTCGGGTTCAAAATTTTTCGGGAACTGGAAAAGTTTTTTAAAACCGAGTCAGACCCTTCCTTCGAGTATAAAATTGGAAGAAGAGGTAATCTCCTACCGAATGAGCAAAAGTTGGAATAGTTTTATTCATGTTCTTTAAGAAATATATTTGAATTTTTAAGCGCATCTAGAATCATTGAGTAAATTGCATGCAGCATAAGTAGTCATTTTTTTACAGAGTCTGGTTCCTGCATGCAGCCGGGAAGAAGTTTCTTCGAAAGCCGGCATCCTGAGATAGCTGAATTATTATAAAATTATGCTGCGTAATGATTAGTTTTACAACCCTACTTGATTAATATTTTCGAAACGAAAATGCATTTCGGAATTTCGGTTGACACTTTATGGGTTAGCCCACCTACTATTGGTTTAGTTTTAGGAATAAGTCCAGGACAGGTAGCGTTGCTGGTAGTGGTAGACACTGGTAGATGCGGGCTCACTAATTGCGTTAAGTGACACACTCGTCATGTTTTGGAAGATGAAGATGCGATCACTGGAACAAGAAATTTATTTGCCTGACGTTTCGGATTCTCAATCGAATCCATCATCAGAGACATTCGCAGATAAAGGTGATTCTGGCACCGGGAGTGCAGTATTTATAGCACGTGGCTGCCGTGGGAGCGTATGCGCACTGCAAGTAACAGTTCTCGCAATCACCGCTGGGGTCGTATTTGATGCGGTGCTGGCTTGTCGGTCCGAGTCCGAGTCGTTAATTGCCGCGATTTCGTCATCCGTGCTGGATGCTGGTGTGACGATTGCTCGGTAAACTGGCTCACTGTCACCGTGATAATTGCTCGCCCGCGCCCTCCCCGCGTGACTGATTCTCCTGCCCAGGGAAAATCGCAGTACGGAATATGGTAACGGGAGGTCATTGTGCTTGTTGATGTATTGTAGGCTTGAGAACCATGACTCGAGCAGCTCGCGACTCACGCGGTTGTCCCCCCTTGCGAGGATTTCGGTCCCTTGAAATTTGAAAATATGGCCGGGTCCCGTCGACTGTGCCGCCACCTGAGAGTTCGCGTCTCCCCGCCTCACTGCTGCTGCGTGCTCGGCAATTCGCGTACGGAGTAATCTCCCAGTTTCTCCGACGTAGTTGCTTTGTCCGCAATTATACCAGATCCGGTAAACGACTCCTGACGTTTCCTGCCGTGGCAGCGGGTCTTTTGGCCTCATGACTTGGCGCCTAATGGTTGCTTCCGGCCTGTGTCCACCTGTTTTGTCCACAGGTCCTAGTCTCAAGCCCCGCCAGCGGCCCGCGATGGTTAGTAATATAGACCAAATAACATTGCCGACAAGGTCAAAGGAAAGTAGAGTGCCCATTCCAGGCAGGGCTTGAGATTGTGCCCCAATGTACAGCGGGACGCGTATGTCCTGTAACACACCCTTCCACCGTTGTTAGTCTATCTGATCGCGACCCACAAGACGCCGAGCTCGTGGCTCAATGCCCAGGGCATTGGGCTTCAAAATAACCGGTCGCAGAAGTAGCCCAAACTCTGGGGCTTGTGTGTGGCTGGCAGATGATGACTAGCAATTCAAAACTGGCAATTTCAGCCCGCATTGTCTTTGTCGGCAGTGTTGGGGGAGATCCATAATCCCCTGTCCGACCCGAATTACAAGTTACATAGTTTCTGCCAAAAAGTGTATGCCTTTGGATGGAAAGAAATTCGACGCAGTAGATTTGGCCTAGTTCATTGGGGAGAGTTGTCAGTACCGAATGCTAAGACCTGGTCTGATTTGCATGCGTCTACACAGTGAACATTATGCCTGCTGACGTGTTTGTTTGCATAGCAAATCGAAGGTTTACTGGGGGTTAGGCAACGCCTATGACTGCTTTGATGTAATCTGGCGTCCTTACGTGGCATTTATTTCTCCCTCGGTATTTTCCTGAAGTCATTAAGAATTTATGTAAAAAAATTATATGATACTTGCACAGTCCTATCCTACTATCAAAATTTGTGGCGTATCAGATCAAGAACCCGGTATATAATTTAAGTAATCTGGAAGGGAATTGCTGCTATTAGCAGTGCCGTCATTGCAGAATATGTCTGTCTCTTAGCTTGTAAAACGACCTCTGCTTTTATTGTTGATTTAGGCCTCATAGAAGCGAGTTTTCATTTACACATCTATCAGGTCTAAAATATTCGACTAACCTTACCCTTGTCATGCTCCAGCATTTTAATGAAACTGGCAGCTACCTCAGTCAGGTTCTTAAGTTACTTAAAATGAATCGTTCCAAGCGAGGAAGAAGAAGCTGAAGAAGAAGAAGAAGAAGAAGAGAGGTCGAGCACCGGAACATTTTGTTTATGGTCCTAAGCTTTAGAACTCCTGCGGGAGTCCATTGTCAGAAACGGTAGCAGCAACAGAACGAGCGACATTTATAGGGCATGTAAGCCAAGCACTGACCAGAAAAAAAGAGCAAGTGAAGCACGTTATCTCAAAAACTGGCTCTTCGAAGGCATTCATAAGTCGCTGCCCATGCGATCGCCCGCAGAGTACTCAAACATCAGCACCATCAACGATATGGCATTCTATGCCATACATTAAGGACGTTTCAGAAGCAACCGAGCGAATTGTTGCAGAGTTGTGTTGGAATTGCACACCGCCCTAAAACCACTATGGGCCGGTTAAAACCTGAAGAGCAATCTGCAGTGATGTATCGCATGTCATGCCAAAACTGTCCTCGTAACTACACAGGCCAGGCTGAACGACGAGGCTGTGCGAAGAAGTGACGCACACCTACGAACTGGGTCATAAGTTTAACTTCGAAGCCGCCAAAATAATTGCCCACGCCGACAACAAAACAGGTCAGAAATCGATGGAGGCCTGGGCCCCGGATGAGAACTCTGTCAATCGATTTATCGATCTGGCGCTGGCATACAGAGCACTGCGCGGTCACCTCCAGGCTTGCGCCGTCGGTCAACGATTGGCTAACACGCTCTATAACTGTCGTTTGTTCTATTGTTGCTACTATCTCTAACGATGGACTCCTGCACGAGTTCGGGCGCTCAGTACAATGAACATAATGTTCCGGTGCTCGACTCCACCCCGTCTCCTTCTTTTTCTTCTTCTTCTTCTTCTTCTTCTTCAATTATGCATACACCTGTAACTGGAAATTTCGCCTTCATGCATGAATAATCACTATTTTATGAGGCGGGCCGTGTGATCTATCACCGACTACTTGATACTTATTGTATAATCTGTTATTAATGCACCGACGAGTTGTGGGACTTAGAATTCCATAGATACAAGGGTGGACGAAGAGTTCCCTCTTTTCTAATTGCTTGTTAGTCCTGCTAGGTGATAAACACTGGAAAACGGCTTTTTACCGTTGCCTATTCATTCGACTGTCTTTCAACTATTAACAACGTGATGGCATTTGATTTAAAAAGAGGCTGACCACTTTTCTTTGTTCTTCCTCTCCAATTTTCTCTTAGGCTTCGGTGGCTGCAAATTCATTACTTTTGAAGACAAGAATTGGCACTCGGAATGCTTCAACTGTAACAAATGCCAGTGCAGTCTCGTTGGTCGTGGTTTCTTAGTGGAAGATGGTGCGGTCGTTTGTCCAGACTGCAGTGCTTAGACTCCCCCCCTCCCCCCCCCTCCAAGATGTCGCCTCCCTCCCTCGGCTTCCGGTTTTAATTTGATGTGGTTCAAGGGGTCAGGCGTGTGGCTTTCCCACCCCAAATCTTGTATTCAAAGCTAGTATATATGTATATGCATATACACAGGCACGTATAAACAAATAGTCCATTCAGAGCAGTGTTCACCTCAGTCATCCCGCTGACTGCCCCTAAGCTATAGTCGAGGCGGATGCTTTCCCCACCTCCACGGTGTTTAAATCGAGTTAGCACTCATCGACCCCAGGGCCCCCTCCCCGTCGTAACGCCCACCTCACTCCCACCAACCACATGGGTGTGTTAGCGCCATCCAATCTCTTCATGCTTGGTGGTATTTAAGAACATATGTTCAGTCAAGAAGCAATTTATTTTTCTAAGTAAGTCCACTCATTCAACAGCCACCCTTAGCCACGACATGTCTTCTCTTCAGTTGTTCCCTTTCGGGGACTCTAGTAACCCAACTTACCTACCTTTGCTGATCCGAAGCCTCCAAGCTCCTTTTGTCTCCCACCGAAGCCCACTGTGGTAGAAACTATTATACAACCCAGTCCTTCAGCGCGATCGGTTTTCTTTTGTCTCGAGGTCTATTGTCGTTTTTATTTAAAAATTGTGCTTTTGCTTTAAATAAACGTGTCCTGTGATTTGACGGTAGCCATCTGCAGGACACTGACGTCAATGTAAGAAGATGGGTTATAGCGTAGGGGGTTTCAGTACCGGCTGCAAGTAGGTAGGGCTTACGGGTGGACTCGATGCGGGGCGTTGAATTACTCGACAAAGATTCCTCAAAGGGAAAACCGATATTGTGGCCATTTTGAGAAGCATGCATTTTTATTCGTTAGGTCGGTCTATGAAAGGTTCGGAGAAAACAACCCCAACATAAGTTTAGGCATTTTACCCGATATCAAACTCATTCTCTCTATGTTAGTGGATTAAGAGACAGAGATGTAGAAGGAAAGGAATTACTTGTTTCCATGGGAACGGCATTCCCGATATATCCCGATTTAAAACGGCGAGGAGGAGATTCTGCCCAGCCGCGGGGGTTCCTACCCCAGGGACCTCGCACGAGGTCTCCTGATGAAGAGCCCTTCTCACTTGTGAAGTATTGCCGCAAAAGGCCCAGAGCCCGAGACTTTCGTATCTAGCCTAACTTCCATCCTCAACCAATCTCACACTTACGTTTTTCAGTGACACTTCTGCATTTTTGCGTATCCACCGCTATACGAACGCCTCCGTTGAGTCAAGATGGATATCATAGGGCATAATGAAATCGTCCACTTTTTAGCTTAGAATTGGGAAAAATTCATGAACTCATCTTCTGTGTGAAATCTAACTGTCGCGATCGCAGTCAAAAGTGGTAGAACATTTGAAGCAGTGGTCGATGGCCAAAGGACACTCGCTTGAGTCTCATATTTTTTTAGCATAGTTAGAGTGCCGCTGTCTGACGAAGGAGGTTGAAACTACTACTTCCAACCCCTTTGTATACGCGAGTAATACTTTTCACGGGTAAAAATTACCGAGTAGAATCAGAGTTCAAAAACGTCAAAAGCTGACTTCCTCCAAATTGAACAGTTGCGGTCAGGTAGTATAAATATCATCGATCATTCGTACATGGGATACGCTAGAAAGGAAGCCGTTTCTTGATCATTCATGTGCCTTCATCATCAGTCAGCAAAATATCAGAGCCCTTAAAGAAGTTGTCTTGGGCGTTATTATCGCTTTTTAGGGCATTAAACCCCTACAAATTCGCAAACTAGATTTCTGGAAATATAGAAAACCCCTTGCGTTTCCTAAAATAACATGCATGCTCGCGTCCTGCTCTATCTGACTTTTGCGGAACAAAAAATCGATTTTCAAGTGCGACAAGTTTCGTTTGGTAAGATTCTCAATTTTTTTATTACTCTCTAATGGCAAAAAGTGATAGGGATTCATAAACTTAATTTATGACAACTAGTAATGCAGAAAAATATCCAGGTAGAAGGCAACGTAGATTTGAGCTTAATTCCTTACTAATTTGGCCTGCTGAAAGTTCTTAGCGAGGACAGTTTCCAGGACGGGTTACCCGACCACGCAAATGCACAGCGCTTTGTGTTTCCCAGCGTCATGTTTCATGAGTTAGGTTACATCCTGTACGTGTAAGGTGCAAAGTCACTGCCAAATTCATGCAAAGACTGGATTAATTAATTTCGTTAGGTATAAGAGATTCGCCTACGGGGTAAAACTTCAAACAGGGACATGTCGTCAAACTGACCCTATGTGCACGGAATTAGCTCAAGCCGGACGCCGTCTTGCTTCCTGACTGAGGTTATGTCTTCACGTAGATATGTTCTGAACAGTGGTCGCAATCACGTAACACGCTCGACGGACAGATCGAGCTAGGTGAGGATGGTACAGACTTTTCCCTTTCCAGTGAAGCTGTACGAATCTGGAATCTGATTCAGGCCATTGACAAAAGACGGTCGTACGGGGGACATGCGTGAGAAACGGTCTTGTTTCAACTCTGTCTTCTAAATTTCAAATTCTTGCGGGGAAAGAGACAGCAATCCCGTAGGTCGCTGTATTTGTTCATTTCGTTCTCCTACTAAGTCAAGATCGCGACCCATAGTGCAACACAATAGTCGCCTGGAATGTTCAAGCGGTCCTCTTAAGTTAAATCATGATTACCAGGTTTTTACTGGGAGAAAGAGGTCAAAAAATGCTTTAAACACGTCGTTGAAGTTGTTTGCAACAACAGTCTACGTCCTTGAAATAAACTCGCCCAAGTGACGACTTGGGATGTCTGTTCCCTTTAATTAATCCAAACGACCAACCGGTTATGAGGAAAAGCCGATCTGACTGTTCGAGAATTGACTCTTAACAGCATAATGATCGCCGTACTCGATAAAAACATACAAATGAAATTGATGTAAATTAACCCTCTTCTGCAGTTAAAGACGAGCGTTTAGGTGTTGAAACCGTATTCGCCGGCAGAAAAGATCTCGTCTTAAAACTGTTTCATCTTCTATGACTTGATGAAATATGCAAATTCCCTCTTAATTAAAATCCCACTTCGTGGGAAGAAATTCGTCACCAATATTAGCACCTGGGCCCAGTAATTACCATACAAAGGAGAATTTCTCCTAATAGCATCGAACACATTTTTCTATATCTTTAAAAAGAAGCCAAAGTGTACCCACAAACTTATGCAGCGGATACGGAATACAATGTATATTTCATGAGAAGCAGTGGAAAATATGCTATGTGAATGGACACTGCACGGTCTTAAAAAGTCTCATAATTATAAACTTTTTTAAAGACCAGTAATGCACTTTCTTCAAGTATAAAATATGAAGTTGGCGTGATTCCGTACCAAGAAAGTAAATGAAAGTACACTTTTAGGCATGTTTTTATAAAAGATATTTGCATTTATAAAACCATGGAAAATAAAAGTTAAAAATGCATACTACTGAATTTGAAGAAGCAAATTCAAAATCCGACATCCTGCCAAATCCGAAATACTATAAGATTATGCCGCATGAAAATAAATATTACAACCCCATCTCAGTAATCCTTCCTAATTGAAAACGCATTTTAGCATTTCGGCCAACACTTCATGAGATCGGTCACTCACTGTGAGTCACGAATAGTAGTGTGTCGTGAGAAGCTGAAAACGGTTTATTCAAAGGAAAAAACGAAGGATTCAACTTTTTTCTTCCCTCTTCCGTTTGCCGTTGGCTCATCCGAGTCAAACAGTCCGAGAATGATTTTGGGCATAGTTGTTAAGGTGTAGTGCGTTACCCGTCGAACCGGCGTTACAAATTAAATTAGATTCCAAGGAGACAAAACTGCCATTAAGGTCACGACAAGACAAATCTTATGAAATATAGCCGTCTTTTTAGTCGAGAACTGACATATTCTGTTGGCTAACAGCCGTCTGAATCACGACTGTTTGCGTGTAGGAAGGCCTGACGTCGGTCCCTCTTTACCTCTCTCCCGTTCGCCACCGGCCTGTCTTAAACTTTCGACCCCTTGATTATGGCACTGAGCGCACTGCTGAAGTGTCCCGAAGGCCTCTGACTACGTGAGCCACACACTTTCCGAATAAAAATTAGAAGACGTAATTTTCAACCAAATGAGAAAAAGAAAGAATATTTTGTGCATGTTTTCCGTAAAATATAATTGGATTTTCAGGGACTTCGAAAATCAATGAGAAACATCCATGCTGCTTAAGTGGTCATTTTTACAGAGTGTAGTTTTTGCATGCAGCCGGATGGAAGCTTGTTCGAAAGCCGGCATCCTGAAGTAACTGAAGTATTATAGAATTATGTTGCTTGTTCACTAGTTTTACAACCCTACGTAATTAATCTTTTCGAAACGAACGCACATTTCGGAATTTTGGTTGACATTTCATGAGTTAGCCCACCTACTGTAAGTGAGATGATCAAAAAGACTCGCGTCCCGCGGAATAATCGAATTATCCGGTCAGCTGGTGATCTTCCAAGCCACGACTTTAGCTCATCGTCCCTGGCAAAATGCGACAGACAACGTACAGTGAGGAATTTATCGATTCATCATGAGAAAAAATACCACAGGATCGGCTTCACCCCCATGTTTTTCTGACATGCCACAGTAGTTTCTCCAAGCCTATTGACCAATGTGCCTGCAAAGCGTGAAGGCCTCCATTGAAGTCGGCCTACCCGCATTTACGGTTCGGTAAGCACAAAGACACAACGCAGTCCACCGAACGAAAGGTCACAGTCAATTCAACTGCCGACAACGACGCAGCCCAGATGGAAATCGCGGGTGAAGGCGTTTAGGCAAAGTTGGCCTGCAAAGGCAAAATCGCGATCACAGGGCTCATCGATTGGCAGTGAGGCCGAGTAAGGTTTTTCATGAGTTGGAACGTTGGTGTCAATAATGCACCTCAGCTTACGACGGTTATGCCAAAAGTTACACCACTCAATCCTGTCTTTACTTTTGTTCGTCG